GCCAACGAGATTTAAAGATTCTCTCTTTAAATCAGGCATCTTCTAAGCAGCATGATAAATATATAGAGAGAGGGACCAGATGAATATTAAGAAGTGGACGAGAACTTACCTGTGGTCCTCAGAGAAAAGATGAGGCACTTAAGTAAAGTTCATGATGGAGTTGTTACAAGCCAGCGGGATCAATCCAACCCCAAAATTCTATTTTTTTAAAAAAATAAAATAGGATCTACACTTGGCTGTCTCAATTTTTGAAATGAAGGAAGGAGACACATCAACCCCAATGCCGTTTCAAAAGGGAATCGAAGTGGTTTTAAAGAGAGGTGGAGCGAGGTTTTGGAGGGGGGGGGGCGAAGGAGGTTCGACATTGGCCAGGATACAAATATTAGGAGCACAAAAAGAGCATTTAGAAGCTGCAAACTTCCTAAAAGAAACCAAGAAAAGGGAGCCAGGAAAAAAGCAACAGCGGAAAGATATATATATATATGTTTTCTGAGGTTTTCGCGGGTATTTGTATATAGGTCTTTGGTTGTTCGGGTTTTCTCCCGCGTAAAATTGGAAGTGTCTTGGCAACGTTTCGACGAAGTCACATTCGTCATCTTCAGGCTGGTGTTTTTAGCTTCTTGCTGCTCAAAGCAAGAAGCTAAAAACACCAGCCTGAAGATGACGAATGTGACTTCGTCGAAACGTTGCCAAGACACTTCCAATTTTACGCGGGAGAAAACCCGAACAACCAAAGACCTATATATATATATATATATATATATATAATATATATATATATATTCTGCAATAATCCTCTACGTTAATCTATGCCAGGTCTTCAAACTTGGCCCTTTTATGACTTGTGGACTTCAACTCCCAGAATGCCTCAGCCAGCACCTGGCTGAGGCATTCTGGGAGTTGAAGTCCACAAGTCATAAAAGGGCCGAGTTTGAAGACCCCTGATATAGACTTTAAGAGGAGTGGACTTCAACTCCCAGAATTCCCGCTGGCTGAGGAATTCTGGGAGTTGCGGTCCACAAGTCATAAAAGGGCCAAATTTGAAGACCCCTGATATAAACTTTAAGAGGAGTGGACTTCAACTCCCAGAATTCTTCAGCCAGCATGGCTGACTGAGGAATTCTGGGAGTTGAAGTCCATAAGTCATAAAAGGGCCGAGTTTGAAGACCCCTGACATAGACTTTAAGAGGAGTGGACTTCAACTCCCAGAATTCCTCAGCCAGCATGGCTGACTGAGGAATTCTGGGAGTTGAAGTCCACAAGTCATAAAAGGGCTGAGTTTGAAGACCCCTGATATAGACTTTAAGAGGAGTGGACTTCAACTCCCAGAATTCCTCAGCCAGCATGGCTGACTGAGGAATTCTGGGAGTTGAAGTTCACAAGTCATAAAAGGGCCGAGTTTGAAGACTCCTGCTCTACACATTAAACACTAACAATGAAGCCTCATCCTCATTCAGGGTGCCACAAAAGTCTAAAGGTCGTGGTGTTGCAATCACTTCCAAATTGCACAAACATACAGAACTCCGAGGCAAATGAAAGACAGCGGTGCGTTATGTCTTTATTGCATAAAAATTCTGTTAAGTTTTCATATAATAAGTAGTGCTTATTACTCAGCGCTAAATAGCTGGGTTTGTGGTAATACAATCAGCCCTATGTATATATCTGCTGGAGCAAGCCCAAAGATTTTAAGAACAAATCAAATCAAATTAAAGGCAGCCCTCGTTTAGACACCACAACTGGGACCGGCCATTTGGTCATTAAGTGAAACGGTCATGAAGTGAAAACTACTGTGCTTACTTCAGTTTTTTGCTATTCTTAATATTTCCTTCAGCCGGACTAGGATTCTCTCTCTCTTTGAAGAGATCTTGGCATTGGATAAAGAAGCAAATTAAAAAAAAAAAAAGAGAGAGACACCGTGAAAGTGGTAAATGAAAGGATTGGTTGTTAAGGGGACTTTTTTTTTTTGCACTGTGGTAACGTCAAACAAGTCATTAAACAAGGCAGTCGCTAAACGGGGGCTCCCTATACACAAAGGACATTCCATCTTTTTCCCCGACCCACAAAATTACTTTCATTCTATTAAAAAAAAAAACTGAGTTGGTTTCGTTTGTCGCAGAGAGCAGTTTTGTGTTGGCTTTTTAAAAAAATAAAATCCACAAATTTAACACGGCTGCAAACTTTTTAACAGAAAACGCCAAATGGCAAAGTTAAGAAAATTTACCAAATGCGATTCTGTAACGACGGTGTTTGAATGAATAGAATAGAATAGAATAGAATAGAATAGAAATAGAATTAATAGAACAGAACAGAATAGAATAGGAAATAATAGAATAGAAATAGAATAGAAAAATTAATAGAACAGAACAGAAAAATTAATAGAACAGAAATAGAATAGAAATAGAATAGAATAGAAAAAATTAATAGAACAGAACAGAAAAATTAATAGAACAGAACAGAAATAGAATAGAAATAGAATAGAATAGAAAAAAATAATAGAACAGAACAGAATAGAATAGAACAGAGGTGGAAGGGAGCCTTGGAGGTCTTCTAGTCCAGCCCCCTGCTCAAGCAGGAGACCCTATACCATTTCAGACAAATGACTGTGCTCTTTTCTTAAGAGAAGCCCTGGGCTAAGCCACTTAGCCTTGCCGGAAATTGACCAGTGGAGCCAGACCATGTCCCTGCTCAATGAAGTCCATCCTTCATGCCTCTTTAAGCCTGCCTTGTCTTGTTATATCTACGGCAACAAATGAAACAGATGTTGGCGCAATGATCAGATTATGTCAGGAATGGAATGGCGGAAGAATGCAATCTGAAAATTGACACAAAGAAGACAACAGAGGAAGGGAAAGGAAATGGAGAGGAGATGGGTTAAACCGAGGAAAAATGAATGTTCATTTATTCCAGGGCTGAATTAAGACCACAGTCTAAACCAGGGGTAGGCAATCTTGGCTCTTTTATGACTGGTGGACTTCAACTCCCAGAATTCCTAAGCCGGCATTACTCAGCTTGGAAACCTCTCCCTCAGCATGGCTGGCTCGGGAATTCTAGGAGTTGAAGTCCACCAGTCATAAAAGAGCCAAGCTTGCCTACCCCTGGTCTAAACCAACAAAGTGCTTCTACACAACATGGAACCCTTCCATCGGCACCATAGAGTTAAAAAAAAAAAAAAAACTCTGTGACACGCAGATTTGCTAGCTTTACTGTGCCCACGAACCTCCTACGCAACCACATTTTTCCAGGGGTCTCCAAACTTGGCAACTTTTCTGGAGTTCGAGAAAATTCCTCAGCCAGCCATGCTGGGCAGGTTTTTGGGCACCAGGGACCGGTTCCATGGAGAGGGGTTTTTCCACAGACCAGAGAGTGCGTGGTTTTGTGTGCTGCCCGCATCTCATGGATGGGGCTTTCCTTGTTTGTGCGGACCGGTTGCTGGCATGCCGTGGCCCAGTACCGGTCCATGGACCGGGGGTTGGGGACCCGTGTTAGGATCCTATTGTTAGGAAGCTACACTTGGAGAAGGGGGTGTCCCAGGAGGTGGGTCTTCTCTGCCATAGTGCCCAACTAAGGGAATATTCCATACACACAAACACACGCACACACATACAGAAGTGATATTAGCTGCATCTCTGTTGGTTTTCTGGAAGTCCCTCAAAATACGGCTACATCATCAAGCAACTTTTCGTTAAGATGGGCAACCATTTGTCTGAAATGGGATAGGGTTTCCTGCCTGAGCAGGGGGTTGGACTAGAAGACCTCCGAGGTCCCTTCCAACTATTCTGTTCTGTTCTGTTCTCTATTCTATTCTATTCTATTCTATTCTATTCTATTTTATTCTATCCCATCCCATATTCTAGAATCTATCCTATCCTATCCTATCCTATCCTCTATTCTATTCTATTCTATTCTATTCTATTCTATTCTATTCTATTCTATTCTATTCTATTCTATTCATTATTTTACCTATTTTATTCTATCCTGTTCATTATTCTATTCTATTCTATTCTATTCTATTCTATTCTATTCTATTCTATTCTATTCTATTCTATTCTATTCTATTCCATCCCATCCCATCCCATCCCATCCCACCTCATATTCTATCCCTGTGGTGATGAACCTATGGCACTCGTGCCAGAGGTGGCACGCAGAGCCCTCTCTGTGGGCACACGCGCCGTCGCCCCAGTCCTGGGCCTTCAGCTGGGTTTTATAAAACCTTTTCGCTTTAGGCCTCCACCGCCGTGTGCAAAAAAAAAAAAAAAAAGGTTCAATCAATTAGTCAATTTCAACTTCTTGCGAGAAAAAAAAAGATCTTGCAAAGTTGGAACTGATTGATTGAACTTTTTAGTCCCGGCCAGTCTGCTATTACCACTGAAGCCATGCCCATCCAATGGGCCACACCCACCTGGCACCCAACAATACGTAAGTGGGTTTTGGGTTGCAGTTTGGGCACTCGGTCTCTAAAAGGTTCGCCATCGCTGTTCTATCCTGTCCTATCCTATCCTATCCTATCCTATCCTATCCTATCCTATTCTATTTTATTCTATTCTTATTCTATTCTATCCTATTCTATTCTTTCTATCCTATCCCCTTCATGAGCACTATTGACAAAATCACTAAGAGTCAACTGCAAAAGGCAGCTCTACTCAGAACAGCTTACAACCTATGACGATACATTTCACCTTTAACCTTTAATCCCTCCACATCTGCCTATCCCAGTCCCTTGGGAAAGACCCGATCGGTGGACACAAAAATGCCAAATCGCGTCTGAACCTCTAAGCCGACTGTGCAACGAATCGAAAATCACCACAAAAGTCGGCTTTTCCTTAGAACAGCTTCCATCCTGCGACAATACCTTTCCGCGCCAACCCCACCACACACCACCACGTTTTCCTCTCCCGGATTCCTCGGGAAGGACTCTTGAGAGCCGAACGAAAATGCCAAACCCAAACTTAAAACGTCCGGCGGAACAACGGTTAATAACGATAAACGTCGGAGTTTCTCACCTGTATTTTTATGGGCCAGCTGAAGTTGCTGACGTAGACGAAGAACGTGATGTTCGGGTTGTTGCGGAAATCAAATTTCTCGTTGGAGAAGCTGTCCTTATATTCCTTGACCTGGTTTTTCGAAACCACGGGGATCTCCTCTCCAGCCTGCGTACCGGCTTTTGGGAAATTTAAATAGGAAAAGAACAAAGGAAATGAGAAAGGGCACGAACGTCGGGACCTTTGGGGAAGATAGGTTGAAACTGTCAATCACAGGGACCCGGTGACATCTGTCAAACTTCATCTAACTCTGAGGGGTGCTGGGAGAACTGCCGAGGGACCAATCAGAGGCGTTCTACTAAGGACAGCCAAATAATCAGTATAATAATATCAGTATAATACAGGCAATCCCCAAGAGAGCCCAAAATTTCATTCATTCATTCATTCATTCATTCATTCATTCATTCATTCATTCATTTATTTATTTATGAGACTTATATACCGCTTTAAGTGCAAGCACTCTCTAAGCGGTGTACACCAGTAAGCAATGTATATATATATATATATATTTACATTGCCCCCAACAATCTGGGTCCTCATTTTACCTACCCCGGAAGGATGGAAGGCTGAGTCAACCTGGAGCCGGTGAGATTTGAACCGCTGACCTGCTGAACACAGTCAGCTAAAGTGGCCTGCAGTACTGCACTCTAACTGCTGCGCCACCTCGGCTCATTTTAAAGAAAATTTTATTGATTTTTCTAGTTTTACATTTAAATATCTGAACAGCAACGTGGCGGCTGAGATGACCCATCGTTCAAGAACATACAAATGTCTTTAGTACGGATCTCAAACTATTACATTAAATATTTCCTCTCTTCTCCCCGTGGTATGTTTACCGTCTCGTATTTAAACTAATACAATTCTTATTCTATCGATTAAACAAAAATAACTTTCTTACATTGATCGATAATTTTTAGTTTATACATAGCCTAGTTATTTTAACATTCAATCATTTTAGACAGTCAGTGTCCTAATTGGTTTCCCCCCCCCCCAATTTTTAGTTTCCCATTAATATTTAAATTTAACGTTTAATATTTATAGTTTCCAAGTTTTAAATAAGCCTAATTCCCTTTATCAACCCCACTCAGGGCTGGGGTGACATCTGTCAAACTCCATCTACCATTGAGGGCTGCTGGGAGAACTGCTAAGGGACCAATCAGAGCCGTTCTATTGAGGACAGCCAAATTATCAATATAATACAGGTAATCCTTGCCTTAAATCCCCAAGGGAGCCCAGAATTTCTGTGACCATGCAAGAGACGAGTTCTTAAGTGAGTTTGGTGCCATTTTACGACCTTTTTTGCCAGCGTTGTTAAGCGAATCAGGCAGTTGTTAAGGCACCAAGGTAAGAACAGAACTGTCTCTCTCTCTGTCTTCAGCATCCTTTCTCCCCATTCTGATCTTGTCCCCATCCATTCCAGCTTCTTCGTTTGCAGAAGCCAGGGTTTGATGACGGCAGGATAAGAAGTAAGGGATGGAAACTGACCCAGGAGAGAAGCAACCTAGAACTAAGGAGAAACTTCCTGACAGTTAGAACAATTAACCGGTGGAACTACCTGCCTCCAGAAGCGGTGAATGCTCCAACACTGGAAGTTTTTAAGAAGAGACTGGACAGCCATTTGTCTGAAATGGAATAGGGTTTCCTGCCTGAAAAGGGGGTTGGACTAGATGACCTATAGGTTCCCTTCCCACTCTGTTATTCTGCTTTCCTTCCTTCCTTCCTTCCTCCTTCCCTCCCTCCCTCCCTCCCTCCCTCCCTCCCTCCCTCCCTCCCTTCTCCAACACTGGAAGTCTTTAAGAAGAGACTGGACAGCCATTGGTCTGAAATGGTATAGGGTTTCTTGCCTGAGCAGGGGGTTGGACTAGAGGACCTCCAAGGTCCCTTCCAACATCATTATTATTATTATTATTTATTATTATAAATCCCTATCGGCAAGCCATGGCTTGTACACAGCCCTTCAAACCACAACTGGAAGCTTTCGCGGTGGCTGTTTTTTATTCCTCTGCCTGAAAGTCTCGGGAAAGATCTCCACAACCAACACTGTGACTTCATTGTTTGACCTGGCTTATGTACAGGTGGTCCTCGGCTTACGACAGTTCATTTAGTGACCGTTCAAACTTACAACGTCCCTCAAAAAAAAGGGGGACCATTTTTCACATTTGCGACCATTGCAGCATCCCCCGTAGTCGCGTGATCAAAATTAAGACGCTCAGCCACTGACTCATATTTATGACGGTCGCAGTGTGCCGGGATCCCGTGATCCCCTTTTGCGACCTGATCAAAGTCAGTAGGGAAGGAAGATTTGACTGAACAACCGTGTTATTGCATTGGTTCACTTAACAGCTGTGGCAAGAAAGGGCGTAAAATGAGGCAAAACTCACTTAACAACTGTCTCGCTTAGCGACAGAAATGTTGAGCTCGGTTTTGGTCGTAAGTTGAGGTTTACCTGTAGCCGAAGTCCCACTCTAGCTTTGAGAAGGCTGTGACCACATCATCCTTTGTAAAACCACGAGTGATCTTCTTTAATACAAGGTAGTTCTCGACTTAACGACCACAATGGAGCCCAACGTTTCTGTTGCTAACCAAGATGGTCGTTAAGTGAATTTTGTCCCGTTTTACGACCTTTCTTGACACAGCTGTTCAGTGAATCACTGCAGTCGTTAAGTTAGCAACAAAACTGTTCAGCGAATCCCCACTGATTTTGTTTGTCTGAAGGTCGCAAACGGGACACGCCAACTGTCACACATATGAGTCAGCTGCCAAGCGCCTGAATGTTGATCACACGACAAGGAGCCCGCAACGGTTGTTAAGTGTGAAAAATGGTCCTAAGTCCCTTTGTGCAGCCCCGCTGTAACTCTGAACTGTCACTAAACGCATGGCTGTAAAGCGAGGACTGGCTGCAGACTAAACAGCCCATCCTTGTGGGCCGATTCCCAGCAATAGCCCAGCCGTGAGCGCTAAAAGATATTGACATTTTAAACATGTTCTCAATTGCTCAGTTGGCACTTGGTGTTTGCTTGATTTTTATGTCTTAAGAGAGCGCTGACAGCTTAAATTTCAGCAGTAACATTTCTGGACACGCTTAGAAAAAGCCCCAAGGAAACCGTCTCAAGAAAGTGAACAGGTGGCCAAGGGTTTGGTGACAGATCAAACTGAACATGCCTAGAGTGAGGAAAATGGCCGTGCTCTGACATTTTAAAGCCAGAGTGGGGCTTTAAAGACACTCGTGGACTTCAGCTCCCAGAATTCCTCAGCCAGCATGGGCAACTAAGGCCCCTTTATGACTCGTGGACCACAACTCTCAGAATTCCTCAGCCACCACGGGCAACTAAGGCGCCTTTAAGACCTGTGGACTTCAACTCCCAGAATTCCTCAGCCAGCATAGGGAACTGTGGCCCCTTTATAAATTCTGGACTTCAACTCCCAGAATTCCTGAGCCTACATGGGGAACTCTGGCCCCTTTATGACTCGTGGACTTCAACTCCCAGAATTCCTCAGCCAGCATGGGCAACTAAGGCCTCTTTATGACCTGTGGACTTCAAATCCCAGAATTCCTCAGCCAGCATGGGGAACGGTGGCCCCTTTATGACCTGTGGACTTCAACTCCCAGAATTCCTCAGCCAGCATGGGGAACTGTGGCCCCTTTATAAATTCTGGACTTCAACTCCCAGAATTCCTGAGCCTGCATGGGAAACTCTGGCTCCTTTAAGACCTGTGGACTTCAACTCCCAGAATTCTTGAGCCAGCATGAGGGAACTACAGCCCTTTTATGACTGATGGACTTCAACTCCCAGAATTCTTCAGTCGGCATGAGGAACTGTGGCCCCTCTATGACTCGTGGACTTCAACTCCCAGAATTCCTCCGCCGGTATGGGGAACTATGGCCCCTTTATGACCTGTGGATTTCTACTCCCAGCATTCCTGAGCCTGCATGGGGGAACGGTGGCCCCCTCATGACTTATGGACTTCAACTCCCAGAATTCCTGAGCCAGCCACATTTAGCTTCAGATTCGGCTAGGCTTGCCTTAGTCTTCTGCCTAACTCTTAAACCTTCTGCTTTTTCTTTCTCTGGCTTCCTTCCCTGGGGAATTCTGGGAGGTGAAGTCCTCAGGTCTCAAAACTTCCCAAGTTTGGAGAGCATTTCTCACCTGCAAAGCTGGTCGACCAGGTGATGTTAAGGTTGAAGTTTTTCGAAGCGTTGATGAACATATCCAGGTCTCGGTTTGGCTGGTTTTGAGGAAAGGAGAGAGAAAAAGGGGGATTAGGGACTTTGAAGCATCCGGCAACTTCTACACCAGTGGTTCTCAACTTTTCTAATGCCTCGACCCTATAATACAGTTCCCCATGTTGTGGTGACCCCCAACCACTTATACATCACCGGGTGCCAGGGGCGTGGCCAAAGAAAAGGGGGGAAAAATGGCGGACAGCCTTGTTTGGCGACCCCCGTGAAATGGTCGTTCGACCCCAAATGGGGTCCCGACCCACAGGTTGAGAACCACTGTTCCACACAAACCATCAGCGTCATTTTGGTACGAGTAAAGTGGGCCCCAGCTTCCGATCTCCCTCCTCCGTCTTGAAAACAATGCGCTGTTACGGTCAGGTGTAGGCAACCTCGGCTCTTTTTTGACTGGTGGACCAACTCCCAGAATTCCTGAGCCAGCCACGCTGAGGGGAAAGGGAGAGGTTTCCAAGCTGAGCCAGGCTGGCTCAGGAATTCTGGGAGTTGAAGTCCACAAGTCATAAAAGAGCCAAGGTTGCCTACCTCTGGCCTAGGCCGCTTTATGACTCGTGGACTTCAACTCCCAGAATTCCTGAGCCAGCATGGCTCAGCTTGGAAACTCTCCCTTTCCCCTGCCCTAGGCCTAGGTCAGGGGTAAGCAACCTTAGCTCTTTTATGACTCGTGGACTTCAACTCCCAGAATTCCTGAGCCAGTGAAGTCCACGAGTCATAAAAGAGCCAAGGTTGCCTACCCCTGGCCTAGGCCGCTTTATGACTGGTGGACTTCAACTCCCAGAATTCCTGAGCCAACATGGCTCAGCTTGGAAACCTCTCCCTTTCCCCTCAGCATGGCTGGCTCAGGAATTCTGGGAGTTGAAGTCCACGAGTCATAAAAGAGCCAAGGTTGCCTACCCCTGACCATAACAGCGATTTCTCATTTTTGCAAGGAAACTGATCTCCAGACACTTCGCGAAGCAAAGAAGGAATGGAGACAAAACGGGATGAAAACAAACACGTCAAAACAAGCGGTCGGAAAATACTTTTTTAGTGCCGTGTTTATATTTTGCACCGTCACTAAATGAACTGGTGTAAGTCGAGGACTACCCATAGTTATCGATTCTCGTGATCTTGATTTTATCTGTGGATGCAACCTATGGTTGCGTTGGCTTTTTGGACATCCGTAGCATTCTTCCTGGCTCATAGTAGGACAGAATAATAGCGTTGGAAGGGTCCTTGGAGGTCTTCTAGTCCAACCCCTTCCTCAAGCAGGAGACCCTATGCCATTTCAGACATACAGCAGTGGCCAAAATGGTGGAAACCTTTTGGGAAAAGTGAATTTTTGAGGTTTGATGGCTAGTAACACCACTTTTTGGGGGGAGTAATACCATAAAATTATATATCAATGGAAAGATAATTTAATCAAGATCGTAATGCAACAAAGTTTGTTCAATTATCTGCACTGTATTCTATGAAATGTTATAGCCAAATAACCAGAAAAAGGAAGCACAAAATTGCTTAGGTTGATCTCAGGTAGCTTTCCTTCATCCGATTGTAGCCAATGAGCAGGAGTGTTTGCAGAGCCAATCGGGTGTCATCTTGTTTTGGCCATGAGCCAATCCGATCACAGTAGGATCCAGTGATTGATGTCACTTATTGAAAATGAGAGGAGGTCATTTGTCAGTGTATTGTGTGATCGCTTATCAAGTTGGCTGGGTTTTTTTCTGCTCTTTCATTGAGTGAGCTTGCAAAACGTCATAAAATTAAAGTAACGGTGCAAAGAGTTGACTGGTCGCCCAGAAAGTGATGTAAAATAGTATTATTAGGTGAATAAGGCTACCGTTATAAAGAAATGAGAAGAAAAATGGGTGGAAACTGAACCAAAAGTGGCATTTCTACTGTACGCTTTTCCCAAAAGATTTCCACCATTTTGGCCACCACTGTACAATGTATTGGCTTTCAGAATCTAGATGCGACGTGAGAGGTGACCGGACCCAGATTTTGAAATTACAGGAACTCCTCGACTTACAACCACAACCGAACCCCAATTTTTTTGTCGTTAAGTGAGACGTTTGTTAAGTGAATCTTGCCCCATTTTACGACTTTTCTTGCCCAATTTGTCAAGTTGAATCCCTGCAGTTGTTAAGTGGATCTGGTATCCCCCATTGACTTTGCTTGTCTGATGATCCGAAAAGGGAGATCACGAGATCCCTGGGACACTGCGACCATCATAAATAGGAACTGGTTGCCAAGTGTCCGAATTTGGATCTCGTGAACGTGGCGATGCTGCAACAGTCGTTAAGTGTGAAAGACGGTCCTAAGTCACTTTTTTCAAGTGCCGTTGTTAATTTCAAACAGTCACTCTATGAACGGTTGTTAAGTCGGGGACCACCTGAAGGGATCCCGGGCAAACTTCCCTCCAAGGGGTAGAGCTGCCTGAATTCTCGCCCATCTCACTGAGAATCTTTTCAGCCCCACGTCACAATTTTGATCACATGATCATGGAGATGCTATGAAGGTCGTAAGTGTGAAAAACGGTTGTAAGTCACTTTTTTTAGTGCCGCTGTAACTATGAACGGTCACTCAATGAACTGTTGTAAGTCGGGGACTGCCTGTACTGCATATAAATTTCACGTGTTCTCTGGTGGTATTCTAACAAGAAGACTAAGACCCAATTATAAACAGTCATTTTGCCATTCCTGCAACAACAAATGGTGGCAGAGTAGAAATAGAAATAGAAGAAAAATAATGAATAGAATAGAAATAGAATAGGATAGAATAGAGAATAGGAAAGAATAAGAATAGAATAGAACAGAACAGAGAATGGAATTGATATAGAATAGAATAGAATAGAATAGAATAGAATAGGAATAGAATAGAATAGGAATAGAATAGAATAGAACAGAATAGAAATAAGAATGGAATGGAATGGAATGGAATGGAATGGAATGGAATAGAATAAGAATAAGAATTAGAATAGAATAGAGCTGGAAGGTACCTTAGAGGTCTTCTAGTCCAACCCCTGCTCAGGCAGGAAACCCTACACCATTTGAGATAACAAGAGAAGAGAAGAGAAGAGAAGAGAAGAGAAGAGAAGAGAAGAGAAGAGAAGAGAAGAGAAGAGAAGAGCTGGAAGGGACCTTTGGGGTCATCTAGTCCAACCCCCCGCTCAGGCAGGAAACCCTACACCATTTCAGAGAAGAGAAGAGAAGAGAACAGAACAGAACAGAATAACAGTGTTGGAAGACCCCTGGAGGTCATCTTGAAGAGAAGAGAAGAATAGGAAAGAATGGAATAGAAATAAGAATAGAATAGAAATAGGAAAGAATAGAATAAAAATAAGAATAGAATAGAATAGAATAGAATAGAATAGAATAGAATAGAATAGAATAGAATAGAATAGAATAGAATAACAGAGTTGGAAGGGACCTTGGGGGTCATCTAGTCCAACCCCCCCGCTCAGGCAGGAAATCCTACACCATTTGAGACATTAAATGGCTGTCCAGTCTCTTCTTACAACCTTCTGGAGGCAAGCAGTTCCACTGGTCAATTGTTCTCACTGTCAGGAAAAGTTCTGCTGGCTTCTCCCCACACAATACATTTTGATGGCCCTCAACGGCCGAGATCTTTAAAGACACAACCCAATGCCCCATTGGGAGCCCTTACCAACCTCTTCCGGGGTCGCCACAAAATTGATGGCCATGTAATAGCGGTCGTCTTCCTGGGACAGACTGAAGGTGAACTGATAGTCAATCAGGAGGGTGTCTACGCGGAAGCATAACGAGAGAGAGAGAATTAGGATATCAATTGGTACAGGCAGCCTCGGACTTACGGCCACGACGACGCCGACATTTCCGTTGCTAAGCGAGACGGCTGCTAAGTGAGTTCCGTCCCCTTTTACGACGTTCCTCGCCCCGCCTATTAAGCGACTCCCTGCAGCTGTTCGGTTGTTAAGTCAGGCGGGCTGCCCCCGTTGACTCTGCTTCTCCGGTGGTCGCCAAAGGGGGTCACGTGACACCCCCCCGGGGACCCTGCGACCGTCATAAAGATGAGTCAATTGCCGAGTCAATCTGAATTTTGATCACGGGACCGTTAAGTGTGGGAAAACGTCCTAAGTGCCTTTTTTCAGTGCCGTTGTAACTTCGAATAGTCACTACACGAGCCGTTGTAAGGGGAGAACTGCCTGTATAAGCCTTATTGCTATGTCGAGGGCAGTGAAAGCTGCTGGAAGACGAGGGCTAAAAGACCCTGTCATGCTTCATCTCAGACGCGGCCCTATGAAAAATATCTTGCTATTTTATTTAGCACAGTGGTTCTCAACCTGTGGGTCAGGACCCCATTTGGGGTCGAACGACCATTTCACGGGGGTCGCCAAACAACGCAGGCCGCCATTTTTCCTCCCCTTTTCCTTAGCTGTGCTACTCCCTTTTATTCTATTGGCTTTTGAAGGCCAATCGAAGAGACTCTCTTGAATAGAGTCTAATTCTATTGGCTTTCAAAAGCCAATAGGAATTGTCCAGGCTGTCTCTGCCCTGCTGAGCCCGCCAAAAGTCCCAGTCTGCAAACGGTGCTGCACCAGTGGAGTAGTCCTCGACTTACGACCGGTTGAGTAGTCCTCGACTTACGACCGGTTGGGGGTCGTGGCATTAAAAAGGTTGAGAACCACTGATTTAGCAGCTGGAAGCGCTTTCAACAATCCAGCAGGACAGACACGGCCAGCGGCGTCTTTAATCTCTTTTCACGGACTGACGCCGTCCGAGACACGGAGGGAATGCTGATTATTAGGGATGGAGCCCAGTTCGGGAGGAGCCCAGCCCGGCCCTACCAACACCGGACCGGCTTCTGGATCTCTGGGATTCCCATCCTTCTCCTTAAGACCGGTTTGTTCTGGCGGGCATTTAATTTCTCCGGCCAGCTTTTGTAAAATGATTATTCCGTTTTGTCTCTGGCCCTTCTCTTTTGCCATTTGAGCCTCTTGTTCAGGGGTCTCCAAACCCCGGTCTATGGACCGGTAACGGGCCACGGCATGCCAGCAACCGGTCCGCACAAACAAGGAAAGCCCCATCTGTGGGATGCAAGGCAGCACGTAAAACCAGGCAACCTCCGGTCCGTGGGAAAAATCTCTCTCCACGGAACCAGTCCATGGTGCCCAAAAGGTTGGGGAGGGGGAGGGGGAGGAGGAAGAGGAGGGAGGAGGGGGGAGGAGGAGGGGGGGAGGAGGAGTGGGAGGAGGAGGGAGGAGGGGGAGGAGGAGGGGAGGAGGAAGAGGAGGAGGGAGGAGGGGAGGAGAAAGAGGAGGAAAGGAGGGGAGGAGGAAAAGGAGGAGAGGAGGGGGAGGAGGAAGAGGAGAGAGGAGGGGAGGAGGAAGAGGAGAGGAGGGGGAGGAGGAAGAGGAGGAGGAGAAGGGGAAGGAATTGGTTTTTAATGTGCTCTAATTGCTTTTTAATGTGTCGGTTTGAAAAAGAAAGGGAAAGAAAGCACAGGAGGCTTTCAAACATGGGATAATTTTTATACATGGCTAGAAAAATGGAGTTGAAGAGAAGGAATGGGAGTTGTGTTATTGTTATTAATGTCAAATATGTGGACCCAGACAGCATGTTGTTTACTAAGCACTAAAGATGTGTAACTATAAAAAAATTAATAAAATATTGCTTGTCGGCAGGTCGCAAAAAGGGGAACACGTGAGCCCAGGACACGGCAATGGTCATAAATGTGAGTCTATCTATCTATCCACCCGTCTGTCTGTCTCTTATCTATCCATCCATCTATCTTTTTCTATCTATCTATCTATCTATCTATCTATCTATCTATCTATCTATCTATCTATCTATCTTCGTATCCATCCATCCATCCACCCACCCACCTATTTCTTTCTTTCTTTCTCTTTCTTTCTTTCTTTCTTTCTTTCTTTCTTTCTTTCTTTCTTTCTTTCTTTCTTTCTTTCTCTTTCTTTCTTTCTTTCTTTCTCTTCCTCCCTGCCTCTTTCTTTCTTTCTATTTATCTATCTATCTATCTACCTACCTACCCTACCTACCTATCTACCTACCTACCTATCTTTCTATATACCCACCCACCCACCCGTCTGTCTGTCTCTTATCTATCCATCCATCTATCTTTTTCTATCCTATCTTTCTTTTTCTTTCTCTCTTCCTTCCTTCCTGCCTTTCTTTTTCTATCTATCTATCTATCTATCTATCTATCTATCTATCTATCTATCTATCTATCCATCCATCCATCCATCCATCCATCCATCCATCCATCCATCTATCTATCTATCTATCTATCTATCTTCCTATATACCCATCCACCCACCCACCCGTCTGTCTGTCTCTTATCTATCCATCCATCTATCTTTTTCTATCCTATCTATCTATCTATCTATCTATCTATCTATCCATCCATCAACCCACCCATCCACCTTCCTTCCCTTCTTTTTCTCTTTATCTATCCATCCATCCATCCATCCATCCATCTTTTTCTATCTTATCTACCTACCTACCTACTTATCTATCTTCCTATATACCCACCCATCTCTCTGTCTGTCTGTCTATCCATCTATCAAAATTTACATGGCCACCCACTCACTTTCAGTGACTCTGGGCAGGTTATAAAACATAAAAACCCAACATCCCAACAATAAAAACAATAACCCCCTTCATTTTACCTGAAAGTAGATAAAGGGGGAGAGGAGGAAGGATAAAAGGAACAAGCAGAGACATTAGCTCAGCGACCTTGACAAAATATCTGGAGAAAGACACTTCAAAGGAGCAACTGCAGCCTTGCCCCCTCCTGCCCCACCTCTGGTCTCCCGCTAGATCTATAAATCCCGGACTCGCCAACAGGGGAAAGAAAATGTAATTTCCACTCACAGTAGCAGGTTCCTTTGAGAGGGTTACCCTGGTATCGATTCTCGACTTCACACCTGGAGGAAAAAAGCATTCAAAGCGTGGGCCTCTCGCGAGCCATAACTCCCTCCGGTACACGAACATTAACAACTTTTATTTCTCCAGTTGATTTATGCTTCCCAGGAACAATCTGGATTAACAGCAGGTTTTTTTTTTAGAAGCAGATAAAAGTCAGAGTGATCTTCCTTACACAGGTGATCCTCTACTTATGACCCAGCTTTTCCACTGCAAAGCAAAGCAGTCGTTACGGGGAGTTTTGCCCCGTTTTAGACTTTCCTTGCCACGGTCGTTCAGCGAATCGTGTGGCCGTTAAGCGAATTGTGTGGTCGTTAAGCGAATCCGACCTGCCCCATCAACTTTGCTTGTCAGAAGCCAGTTTGGGAAGGTTACAAACAAGGGTCACATGACCCCAGGACAATGCAACGGTTGTTGCCAAGCGTCGGAATTTCGACCACTTAACCGTGGGGATGCTCCAACAGTCGTTAAGCGTGGAAAAGGGTCATCGGTCACTTTCTGCAGGGCTGTCGTGACTTCGGACGTTCGCTAAACGAACGCTTGCAAGCCGCGGAGCCCCCACACTGCGTAGGCGCTGTCTCTACACACTCATCAACATATACACGTATGCAATTCTCGTTCTGCTCCCTGAAGCCTCCCCCCCCCCCGCAACCAACCTGGCTAACAAGCCAGTTTTTTTGCTTACTGTTAAGGAAGCCAACATACAGTAGTGGCCAAAATTGTGGAAACCTTTTGGGGAAAGTGTATTTTTGAGGTTGGATGGCTAATATGACCGCTTTCTTTTGGGAGTAGTACCATAAAATTATATATCAATGGAAAGATAATTTAATCAAGAACGTCATGCAACAACGTTTGTTCAATTATCTGTACAGTATTCTATGAAAAGTTATAGCCAGGTGGTTTTCTTGCAGACGTTTCATCACCCAACTAGGTAATGTCATCAGTTCTAGAAGGGAGTGGGGAGGAGGAGGAGGAGGAGGAGGAAGAGGAAGAGGAGGAGGAAGACGACTGTGGGGTCCTTGGTGCTCTCCGAGTTAGTGGTTTTCTTGCAAATGTTTCATGAGCCAACTAGGTAACATCATCAGTGCTAGAAGTGAGGGGGGATTGTGGAGAGGAGGAGGAGGAGGAGGAGGAGGAGGAGGACTTGGTGGTCTCTGAGCTTGGGGGTTTTCTTGCAGACGTTTCATCACCCAACTAGGTAATACCCTCAGTGCTAGAAGAAAGAAGGGTTTGCAGAGTGGAAAAGAAAGAGAAGGGGAGAGGAAGAGGAGAGGGAGCAGGGCAAGGGGGAAGGGGAGGAGGAGGAGGAGCAGGGGGAAGATTGTGGGATCCTTAATGCTCTCAGAGCTTGGCTGTTTTCTTTCATGACCCAACTAGTAACATCATCAGTACTACCAGTGTTATTGATTCCTGTATTGGTACTAAAGCACTCGTGGGACACCCCCTTCCAGCATTGATGATGTTCCCTAGTTGGGTGATGAAACATCTGCAAGAAAACCCCCAAGCTCAGAGAGCACCAAGGACCCCACAGTCCTCCTCCTCCTGCTCCCAAATTCAATTCCCTTCTGGCACTGATATTACTTAGTTGGGTAATGAAATATCTGTAAGGAAACAACCCAGTTCAGAGACCATCAAGAACCCACAGTCCTCCTCCTCCCTCCTTCCTCCCCTCCCTCCTCTCCACAAACCCCACTCCCTTCTAGCACTGATGATGTTACCTCCTTGGGTCATGAGACGTCTGCAAGAAAACCACCAAACTCAGAGAGCACCAAGGACACCACAGTCCTCCTCCTCCCCTCCTTCTTCTTCTTCTTCTTCTTCTTCTTCTTCTTCTTCTTCTTCTTCTTCTTCTTCTTCTTCTTCTTCTTCTTCTTCTTCTTCTTCTTCTTCTTCTTCTTCTTCTTCTTCTTCTTCTTCCTTCTTCTTCTTCTTCTTCTTCTTCTTCTTCTTCTTCTTCTTCTTCCTCCTCCTTCCTCCTCCTCCTCCTCCTCCTCCTCCTTCTTCTTCTTCTTTTCTTCTTCTTTCTTCTTCTTCTTCCTCCTCTTCTTCTTTTACTTCTCCTCCTCCTCCTCCTCCTCCCCCCTCACCATTCCCTTCTAGCACTGATGATGTTACCTAGTTGAGTCATGAAACATCTGCAAGAAAACCACCCAGCTCAGAGAGCACTCAGGACCCCACAGTCCTTTTCCTCGCCGTCCTCCTCCTCCTTCTCCTCCTCCTCCACCACACCGCAAACCCCACTCCCATTCAGCATTGATGATGTTCCCTAGTTGAGTCATGAAACGTCTGCAAGAAAACCACCCAGCTCAGAGAGCACCAAGGACCCCACAGTCCTCCTCCTCCTCCACCCCCACCACCCCCACTCCCTTCTAGAACGGATGACGTTCCCTAGCTGGGTCATGAAACGTCTGCAAGAAACACCCCCCCCCGGCCCTGAGAGCACCAGGCCTGCCCCTCCTTCCAGCCCTGAGCCTCAGATATTCCCAATCCCCAGGGACAGAAGCACAGGGGGCCCGGGGGGCCCCGGGTGTTTCCCAGCGGCCACTCACAGCTGGCACTCCTCTCCTTTGATCCCTTTGGTGGTGCAGAAGCACTTCCCGGTGTTGGCGTTGCAGACGGAGGCGTGGCCGTTGCACTTGCAGGCTGCAAGAGAAGGAAGCATTTCCGACAGTCATAAATACAATCCATGGGTCCAGGAAGATCGCGCAAAGCAGGCAGGCAGAGAGATTGCGAGGGAGTCCTCGGCTTACGGCCACCACTGAGCCCCCAATTTCTGTGGCTGAGCCAGACGGTTGTTTTGGCCCCGTTTTACGACCTTTCCTGCCTTAAGTGAGTCACTGCAGTTGTTCGGTTAGTAACCCGGTCGTTAAGTGAATCCGGCCTCCCTCATTGACTTCGCTGGGCAGAAAGTCGCAAAAGGGGAGCGCGTGACCCCCCTGGGGACACTGCAACCGTCGTAAGTCTGAGTTATGCCAAGCCTCTGAATTTGGATCGCGTGACCAATGGTGAAAAATGGCCATGAATCCCTTCTCTCAGTGCCGTGATAACTCTGAACGGTCCCTAAAGGAGGGAGGAGGAGAAAGAGAGAGAGAGAGGGAGGGAGGGAGGGAGGGAGGGACGGGGAGGGGGAAGGAAGGGAGAGGAAAAAGAGAGGATGAGAGGAAGAGAGGGAAAGGGAGAGAGAGGGGGGAGAAAGAGAGAGGGAGGAGAGGGGGGAAAGGAGGGAAAGGGAGGGGGAGGGAGAGAAAGGGAGGGGGAGGGAGGAGAGGAAAAAAGGGGGGAGAGGGAGAGGCAGAGGGGGAGAGAAGATGGGAGGAGAGAGAGAGGGAGAGGGAAAGGGAGAGGGGTGAGAGAGAGGGAGAAGGAGAGGGGGGAAAGGAGGGAAAGGGAGAGAGGGAGGGAGGGAAAGGGAGGGGGAGGGAGGAGGGAGAGGAAAAAAGAGAGGCAGAGGGGGAGAGAGAGGGTGGGAGGAGCAGAGAGAGAGGGAGAGGGAAAGGGAGAGAGGGGGGAGAAAAAGAGGGAGAAGGAGAGGGGGAAAGGAGGAAAAGGGAAGGGGAGGGAGGAGGGAGAGGAAAAAAGAGGGGGAGAGGGAGAGAGAGAGAGGCAGAGGGGGAGAGAGAGGGTGGGAGGAGGAGAGAGAGGGAAAGGGAGAGAGGGGAGGAGAAAGAGAGAGGGAGAAGGAGAGGGGGGAAAGGAGGGAAAGGGAGAGAGCGAGGGAGAAAGGGGGAGAAGGAGAGAAAGGGAGGGGGAGGGAGGAGGGAGAGGAAAAAAGAGGGGGAGAGAGAAAGGGAGAGGGGGAGAAAGAGAGGGAGAAGGGGGAAAAGGAGGGAAAGGGAGAGAGCGAGGGAGAGAAAGGGAGGGGAGGGAGGAGGGAGAGGAAAAAAGAGGGGAGAGGGAGAGAGAGAGGAAGAGGGGGAGAGAGAGGTGGGAGGAGGAGAGGGAGAGGGAAAGGGAGAGAAAGAGAGGGAGAAGGAGAGGGGGGGAAAGGAAAGAGGAAAGGGAGAGAGAGAGAGAGAGAGAGAGAGAGAGAGAGAGAGAGAGAGAGAGAAAGGCAGACAGAGAGAGGGAGAATTTCTTCCTTCACTTCTTAGAAGTCACGACTTTGATTTTAGGAAGTTGTCAGCCCTCAAGGCTGCCGAGCAAAGCTTTTTTTGTGCGTCAGGAACACCTCAGAAAACAGCGGAGGCTAAATTGCTCATGCTGGAGAGCATCAGCCCAGGTGCGCGGGATCCACCCGGGGACCTCCGCCGCCTGAGGCTAATCTGAGCTGCCATTTAAATCAACAGAGTGCGCCCGGCCCGTCTCCATATACTGTCGGTTCCGCTCCTGGGTGGATGCGTGTTCGGTTTGTCGGTTTGTCTGTTTGTTGAATAGTTTGGGAAGAAACTTCCCCACACGCACCCCGAGCATCTTCCCCTTTTACACAGCTTAGTAGAGATCCGCTCACAAGCAGCGCGAAAGAACGAGGTACAATACCGCCATTAAATAGTTGCTCACCACTTCGCCATCCTTTATTAAAACATCAGCAGATACGCCATTTCCTTCTCTGGGAAACCCGTCAGAACACAAGGTGTCCTCAACGTACGACCGCACAATTGAGCCCAAATGTCCCATTGCTAAGCGAGATCGTTGTTAAACAGGTTTTGCCCCGTTTCTCGCCACCATCGTTACGGGAATCGCCTCAGTGTTCAAGTTAGTCACGTGGTCATTAAGCGAATCTGGCTTCCCCTTTTGGTCGCAAAAGGGAAGAGGATCCCGTGAACCCGGGGGAAACTGCGACCGTCGTAAGTGTGAATCAGTTGCCAAGTGTCTGAATTTTGATCTCGTGACCAGGGGGAGGCTGCAACGGCTGTAAGCGTGGGAAATGGTCCTAAGTCACTTTTTTTCAGTGCCATTGTAACTTGGAACGGTCACTAAGTGAACTCTTATTAAGCCGAGGATTACCTGTATGGCGTTCTTTGAGCCTGGTGCATTTCTTGCAGACCTTTCATTACTAAACTAGCTAACATCATCCGTGCATTACTGACTCGGATCCTGAAATGTCTGCGAGGAAACCGCCAAGCACAGAGAGCGCCAAGGATCACACAATTCAACCCCCTGAGCTACAAATAGTCTCTCCTAAAGGTAAGGACCACGGAGTATCTCAATAGGATTAGATGTAGATCTGGGCTTTGATGTGGCTATCTCAGAATCCTCTGTTCTCTTTTTCCTAGACCAGAAATAGGCAACCTTGGCTCTTTTATGACCCGTGGACTTCAACTCCCAGAATTCCTCAGCCAGCCATGCTGAGGGGAAAGGGAGAGGTTTCCAAGCTGAACCAGGCTGGATCAGGAATTCTGAGAGTTGAAGTCCACGAGTCATAAAGTAGCCTAGGTCAGGGGTGGGCAACCTTGGCTCTTTTATGACTCATAGCTCAGCTTGGAAACCTCTCCCTTTCCTCTCAGCATGGCTGGCTCAAGAATTCTGGGAATTGAAGTCCATGAGTCATAAAAGAGCCAAGGTTGCCCATCCCTGGCCTAGGCCTAGGCTACTTTATGACTCGTGGACTTCAACTCCCAGAATTCCTGGACCAGCCATGCTGAGGGGAAAGGGAGAGGTTTCCAAGCTGAGCCACGCTGGCTCAGGAATTCTGGGAGTTGAAGTCCACAGGTCATAAAGCGGGCTAGGCCTAGGCCAGAGGTAGGCAACCTTGGCTCTTTTATGACTTGTGGACTTCAACTCCCAGAATTCCTGAGCCAGCATGGCTCTGCTTGGAAACCTCTCCCTTTCCCCTCAGTGTGGCTGGCTCAGGAATTCTGGGAGTTGAAGTCCACGAGTAACAAAGCGGCCTAAGCCACAGGTGGGCAACCTTGGCTTTTTTATGACTGGTGGACTTCAACTCCCAGAATTCCTGAGCCAGCCATGCTGAGGGGAGAGGTTTCTAAGCTGAGCCATGCTGGCTCAGGAATTCTGGGAGTTGAAGTCCACCAGTCATAAAAGAGCCAAGGTTGCCTACCCCTGTAAACCTAGCTATTCCTTGGCGGATTGGCTGGAAGGTTTAGAGCAGGGCCCCCAACCCCCGGTCTGTGGACCGGCACCAGGCCGCGGCATGCCGGCAGCCGATCCGTGCAAACAAGCGAAGTCCCATCCGTGGGATGCAGACAGCACACAAAACCACGCATTCTCTGGTCCATGAAAAAAACCTCTCTCCACGGAACTGGTCCCTGGTGCCCCAAAGGTTGGGGACCTCTGCTTTTGAGGTCATGTTGCAAAGTCCCCTTTCGGTTGAGCTTCCATCTTCTGACAGATGGTCTCACGTTATCCTACTTCAGCTCCAACCTAATTCACATCTAAAGCTAAAGGACTCCCTTCTCCACTCATGTCCGACGTTCAGCTGCGATGCTCATACCTGTTCCTCGGCCACGGGAGCCGGCGTTATCCGAAGACAATTTCCGTGGCCGCGTGGCCAGCCTGACGTATCGTTGCCTTCCCACTAAATCAGCGGTTCTCAACCTGTGGGTCGGGACCCCATTTGGGGTCGAACGACCATTTCACGGGGGTCGCCAAACAACGCAGTCCGCCATTTTTTCCCCCCTTTTCCTTAGCTGTGCTACTCCCTTTTATTCTACTGGCTTTTGAAAGCCAATAGAATAGACTCTCTTGAATAGAGTCTAATTCTATTGGCTTTCAAAAGCCAATAGGAATTGTCCAGGCTGTCTCTGCCCTGCTGAGCCCGCCAAAGGTCCCAGTCTGCAAACGGGGCTGCACCAGTTGAGTAGTCCTCGACTTACGACCGGTTGAGTAGTCCTCGACTTACGACCGGTTGGGGGGGGGTCGCAGCATTAAAAAGGTTGAGAACCACTGCACTAAAGCGATACCTATTTATCTACTTGCCCGTGCGCGCTTCTGAACGGCTCGGTGGGCAGGAGCTGAGGCAAGGAACGGGAGCTCGCCCCGTCTTGTGGAACTCGGGACTCGAACCCGGGCTGTCAAGCTCTCCAGCAGACGAGCGCAGCGTCTTGAACCGGTGAGCCATCTGCATTAAAAAACTAACCTTCTCAAGGGTAAAGGATGGAGCCAGCTCGCTGATTTTTAGGAACTGGCAATTTGCTGGTTTTAGGAACTGACATTTATGGTGTGTTGTTTTTGTTTTTTCAAAATGGGGTCACTGCCAGCCTGTCTTTTGGGGTTGTAAACCAGCAGCACCAACAATCTGCCTTGCTTTTTTTCCCCGCCTCTCCAGTTAATGACTGCACGTTAAGCTATTTTAAGAGGCTTTTCTGCCTGAAAAGCGAAACCAACGTCCTTGCTGGGCCTTCAGGACTGGGATTCTTAACAAGGTATCGCAATACAAGCCTCTCTTCTCCTCCCCAGACGTCGCTATCAATTTAATCAGTGAAGGAAAGCATGCATTCTTCCTTAATTAAATTATGCACCGGCAGACAATAGCTGGCCCATCCTTTTCAGGGCGAGCAAAGGCCTCTCAGAGACAGGCAAACAATAGTTAGGCGCCAGAAAGACGGGTTGACAAGCCGCCAGCTTCTGTCCCTGTGGAACGCTGCCTTCCGTCGGAGCCTCTTCGCCAGCGGAGCGGGAACCAAGGGCACGTCAATAAGCAATAACGCGGGCAGAAAATTAGAGACATTTCCACAATCCCCCTAATTTGATCCAGAATTTCTGGGCCCGGCGTCTTAAGTAGGGCAGTGGTTCTCAACCTGTGGGTCGGGACCCCATTTGGGGTCGAACGACCATTTCACGGGGATCGCCAAACAACGCAGTCCGCCATTTTTTACCCCCTTTTCCTTAGCTGGGCTACTCCCTTTTATTCTATTGGCTTTGGAAAGCCAATAGAATAGACTCTCTTGAATAGAGTCTAATTCTATTGGCTTTCCAAAGCCAATAGGAATCGTCCAGGCTGTCTCTGCCCTGCTGAGTCCGCCAAAAGTCCCATTCTGCCAACGGGGCTGCACCAGTTGAGTAGTCCTCGACTTACGACCGGATGAGTAGTCCTCGACTTACGACCGGTTGGGGGTCGTGGCATTAAAAAGGTTGAGAACCACTGGAGTAGGGGAACACGGGCCTGTGTTGATTACCGCGGCCTGTGAAGAGCATCACGGCGGCTAAGGTGGGCGACGCACAATTGCTCGGCGCTGCTCTGCAATCAAGAGGGGAGGAAGGACGGGGGGGGGACTTACGCTGGCAGGTCCCTCCGTTGGTGGGGTCTCCATAGTAACCGGAGATGCACGTCTCACAGTGCCTGCCGGTCGTCAGGTTTTCACACCGCTCGCAGATGCTCTCGTTGATACATTTGCTGTGCCCGTTACACTGGCAGGCTGCGGGCGAAAAGAGGTTTGTGTCGGTCTCTTTCTCTCTCTCTCGTGTCGACTTCTGGAGGCTGCCCCAGTGCTCGGCTTTCTTGACAAGCCAGAAGGGGGCCTGACAAGGAGAGCTGGTCCTGGTAATCGGGGATCTGATTACCCTGGCTCTAATTTGTAGACACCAGCTAAGATGAAAGGGATGACCTAGAGCAGTGGTGTCCAGCCTTGGCAACTTTGAAGACTTGTGGACGCCAACTCCCAGCATTCTGCAGTCAGCCACATTTTAAAGTTGCCAAGGGGTGTCCAGCTTTGGTAACTTAAAAGACTTGCGGACTTCAACTTTAAGACTTGTGGACATGCTGGCTGAGGAATTCAGGGAGTTGAGGTCTACAAATCTTACAACTGCCAAGGGGTCTCTCACCTTCGCAACCTTAAGATTGTGGACTTCAACCTTAAAACTTGTGGACTTCAACCTTAAGACTTGTGGACTTCCACTTTAAAACTTGTGGATTTCAACCTTAAAACTTGTGGACTTCAACCTTATGTCCTGTGGACTTTAACCTTAAAACCTGTGAACTTCAACCTTAAAACTTGTGGACTTCAACCTTACATCTTGTGGATTTCAACCTTAAAACTTGTGGACTTCAACCTTAAAATGTGTGGACTTCAACCTTAAGACTTGTGGACTTCAACCTTAAAACTTGTGGACTTCAACCTTAAAACTTGTGAACTTCAACCTTAAAACTTGTGGACATGCTGGCTGAGGAATTCTGGGAGTTGAGGTCTACAAATCTTAAAATTGCCAAGGGATCTCCCACCTTCGCAACCTTAAGACTTGTGGACTTCAACCTTAAGTCTTGTGCACTTCAACCTTAAAACTTGTAGACATCAACCTTAAAACATATGAACCAACCTTAACACTTGTGACTTCAACCTTAAAACTTGTGGACTTCAACCTTAAGGCTTGTGGACTCAACCTTAAAACTTGTGGACTTCAACCTTAAAACTTGTGGACATGCTGGCTGAGGAATTCTGGGAGTTGAGGTCTACAAATCTTAAAATTGCCAAGGGATCTCCCACCTTTGCAACCTTAAGACTTGTGGACTTCATCCTTAAGTCTTGTGAACGTCAACCTTCAAACTTGTGGACTTCCAACTCAACTCAACTCAACTCACCCAAACCTCAACTAATATAATATTGTTCCCATTAAAAATCATCACAGCATCCTGGATGAGCTTAGGCTAAAGGCAGGATGGAGCAAAAGAGTTTTCAACAGCCTGGGGGGGGGGAAGGGGGACGACTATTGATAAGGTCTTCTGCCTGGACCACCCCCTCATGAACTTCTGAAAATTGGGGAAAGGGGGAGAGGTTTAGGTGATGACTGAAACTTGTGGGTCAATCCTCCTCCTCCTCTTCTCTCTCCTCAATCTCCTCCTTCTCCATCTCCTTCTTATCTACAAACACTGGCATTGATGATGTTCCCCAGCTGGGTCATGAAACGTCAGCAAGGAAACCACCAAGCTCAGAGAGCACCAAGGACCCCACAGTCCTCCTCTTTCTCATCCTCCTCCTCTCCTCCTCCTCCCACACTCCCTTCTTGCACTGATGACGTTCCCTAGTTCGGTCATGAAACGTCTGCAAGGAAACCACCCAGCTCAGAGAGCACCAAAGACCCCACAGTTGTCCTCCTCCTCCTCCTCCTCCTCCACACTCCCTTCTTGCACTGATGAGGTTCCCTAGTTGGGTCATGAAACGTCTGCAAGGAAACCACCCAGCTCAGAGAGCACCAAGGACCCCACAGTCGTCGTCCTCCTCCTCCTCCTCCTCCTCCTCCTCTTCCTCCCTCTCTCCCTCCCTCCTCTCCATAAACCCCATTCCCCACTAACACTGATGATGTTTCCTAGTTGGGTCATGAAATGTTTGCAATAAAACAACCAAGCGCAGACAGCACCAAAGGCCCCATGGTCTTTTTCTTTCCTCCTCCTCCTCTCCTCCTCCTCCTCCTCCTCCTCCTCCTCCTCCTCCTCCTCCTCCTCCTCCTCCTCCTCCTCCTCCTCCTCCTCCTCCTCCTCCTCCATCTCCTCGGCCTCTTATCTACAAACCCTGGCACTGATGATGTTACTTAGCTGGGTAACATCTCCAAGCGAACCCCATAGCTCAGGCAGCGCCAAGCACTGCACAGTTCAGCCCTGAGCTACCGAGATGTTCTTCACTTGGTACCCTGGCCTGACATACCTGGACACTGGATGAAGGACCAGTTATATTTGGCCTCCGTCAGGCACAGGCTGGCGTCCAGGACCGGGTCTGGGTAGGCTTTCCCTGCTGAGGGCGGGGAGGCCGCCGGCATCTTCATGGGAGCCCTGGAAGAGCCTTCCATGCATCGGCCCTTGCCGGTGTTACTGGGATCCGTGCACCAGCCGCAGCCCGGTTGCTCCAGGCAGTGGCTGCAGGTGAAGTAGCCGGAGCAGTTTTCAGCTGCGGGGGGAGAAAGCAAAGAAAACGGTCTTGTGAATTCAGACGGAAGTCCCAAAGCTGCTTTTTGTTGTTTTTTCAGGAGGCAACTGGACTTTGTTTGTTTTTTTGCTTTGAAGACGTTTCGCTTCTCCTCCCAGAAGCTTCTTCCGCTCTGACTGGTTGGTGAGAAACGGAAGGATTTATACTCTTTGCAGACCGCCGGTCATTTGCCTCCTTTTAGAGCAGTGGTTCTCAACCTTTTTAATGCCGCGACCCCCAACCGGTCGTAAGTCGAGGACTACTCAACCGGTGCAACACCGTTTGCAGAATGGGACTTTTGGCGGGCTCAGCAGGGCAGAGACAGCCTGGACAATTCCTATTGGCTTTTGAAAGCCAATAGAATTAGACTCTATTCAAGAGAGTCTAATTCTATTGGCTTTCAAAAGCCAATAGAATAAAAGGGAGTAGCATAGCTAAGGAAAAGAGGGAAAAAAATGGCGGACTGCGTTGTTTGGCGACCCCCATGAAATGGTCGTTCGACCCCAAATAGGGTCCCGACCCACAGGTTGAGAACCACTGGTTTAGAGAGTCGTTGAGGCTACCTGGAGGTTTATCGGTGTGGATTTTGGACCGAGAGGACTGCCGGTTTGAAAGAGGGGACAAAGTGGCCATCTGTGTCGAAACTGAACAGCCCCCTCCCTCAACGGAGGGGGAGGGACACGACACCACCCATCTCCTGTCGACAACACAGTCCTTTCCGCAGTTCCAAGAAGGCTCCACAGCCATTTGCACCAGTCAGGTAAACCTCCAAGTGGGCTCAACAACTTTCCAAAAGGAAGGCAAACGACCAGCTCTCTGCAAGGAGTATAAATCCTTCCATCCTCCACCATCCAGTCAGAACTGAAGAAGCTTCTGGGTGGCGAAGCGAAACGTCTTCAAAGGAAAAACAAGAAGGTCCAGTGGCCCCGTGAAAAAAGTGCCTCTGGGATAACCCTGACCTGGATTGACTGAGAATCTCCCTGGACACCAGCCATGGAAGGCTTCAGACATGTCCCAGGCACCAGGGTAACAACAGAACTGTCTCTCTCTGTCTTCAGCATCCTTGCTTCCCGTTCTGATCTTGTCCCCACCCATTCCAGCTTCTTCGTTTGCAGAAGCCAGGGTTTGCTGTTAAACCCCTATGGGCAAGCCATGGCTTGTACACAGCCCTTCAAACCACAATTGGAAGAAGCCTTTGCGGACCTTTACGGTAGCTGGTTTTTTTTTTATTCCTCTGGCTGAAAGCCTCGGGGAACGTCTCCACAACCAACACTGTGGCTTCATCGTTTGACCCAGCTGACGTACAGGTGGTCCTCAGCATACGACAGCTCATTTAGTGACCGTTCAAACTTACAACGTCCCTCCCAAAAAAGGGACTTAGGACCATTTTGCACACTTGCGACCGTTGCAACATCCCCAGGATCACGTGATCAAAATCTGACTCATATTTATGACGGCAACTGACTCATATTTATGACGGTCGCAGTGTCCCAGGTTCCTTTCCTTCTCCTCCTCCCCTCCCCTCCTCCTCTTCCTCCTCAAACTCTGCTCCCTTGTAGCACTGATGATGTTACCTAGTTGGGTCATGAAACGTCTGCAAGGAAACCCACCCAGCTCAGAGAGCACCAGGGACCCCATAGTCCTCCTCCTTCTCCTCTTCCTCCTCCTCGCAAACCCCATTCCCTTCTAGCACTGATGATGTTACCTAGTTGGGTCATGAAACGTCTGCAAGAAAATCATCCAGCTCAGAGAGCACCAGGGACCCTACAGTCGTCGTCCTCCTCCTCTTCCTCCTCCTCCTCTTCCTCCTCCTCCTCCTCCTCCCCTCCTCCTCCCCTCCTCCTCCTCAAACTCCACTCTCTTCTAGCACTGATGGTGTTACCTAGCTGGGTCACGAAACGTCTGCAAGGAAACCCACCCAGCCTAGAGAGCACCCAGGTGCCCCGCGTGCTCTTCCCGGATGCCCCCCACCCGCCCTGCCGTGATGCCCCAGCCAGGAAGAGAGGGTCTCACGCGGGCAGCTGCTGACGGTGTGCCATTCCAGGCACTGGCCGTAAGGGAAGGAGGCCACGTAGGCGTTGGAGTCCACGCACTGCTTCTTGTTGCTGCACCACATGCACTCGGAGTTGCTGCTGGTGCACTCGCTGCACGCCGCCCTCAGGCCGCAGGGGGTGCGGCACTGCTTGGCGCTGTGGTTGGCTGCAGGAAGGGCGGGGGGGGGGAGAGAGAAAGAAAGAAAAAAAAAAAGGACACTGGATTCGGCACGGAGCGAACGCAAGCGCCTTCTCCCCGCGGTCAGGGGCCAAGAAAATAAGAGACATAGAGAACCCGATGGCGGGTCTAGCCTTTGCGTTTTTCCCGTGGGTTTCGCTTTTTAAAATTAATTAATTAGTAATAGTAGTAAAGTTGGAAGGGACCTTGGAGGTCATCTAGTCCAACCCCCTGCTCAGGCAGGAAACCCTATACCCATTTCAGACAAATGGCTGTCCAGTCTCTTCTTAAAAACTTCCAGTGTTGGAGCATTTACTGCTTCTGGAGGCAGGTGGTTCCACTGGTTAATTGTTCTCACTGTCAGGAAGTTTCTCCTTCGTTTTAGGTTGCTTCTCTCCTTGATTAGTTTCCACCCGTTGCTTCTTGTCCTGCCTTCAGGTGCTTTGGAGAATAGCTTGACTCCCTCTTCTTTGGGGCAGCCCCTGAGATATTGGAAGACTGCTATCCTGTCTCCCCTTGTCCTTCTCTTTGTTAAACTAGACCTACCCAATTCTAGCAACCGTTCCTTATATGTTTTAGCCTCCAGTCCCCTGATCCTCTTTGTTGCTCTTCTCTCCTCTAGAATCTGTCTGTGTGGAGTTCTACAGCCTCCACAAGGCTCGATCCAGCTGTGCGCTGGGCCAGGTGAACGAAGCTCGACGACACTTTACCTGGCCGCTCGCAGACGCTGCCGTTGACCAGGTTGATGCAGGTGGCGGCCTTCAGGCCCTGGCTGCTGGCCTCGGCTAAGTAACTGCAGAAGCCGATGTCACTGGGCTCCCCCGGAAGCCACCGGAGCAGGGTGTTGGTGAAGGGCGACATGTCTTCCCAGCACCAGTAGGAGACGTTGATCTTCCGCAATCCGACCCAGGGTGTCAAAGCTTTGGGCTGGGGGGGGGAGGACAGGGAGGGAGAGAGAGAAGAAGAGAAGGAGAAAGAGAAAGAGAAGGAGGAGAGAGAGAGAGAGAAATACAAGGAGAAGAAAAAATAGAAGGAGAGAGAAAGAGATAGGAGGAGAAAGAGAAGGAGAAAGAGAAGGAAAAATAGGAGGAGAAGGAGAAAGGAGGAGAAAGAAGAGAAAGAAAAAAATAATACGAGAAGGAGAAGGAAAAATAGAAGGAGAAAGGGAAACAGAAATAGAAGAAGGAGAAAGAGGAGGAGAAAGAGAAGAAGGAAAAAGGGAAAGAGAAATAGAAGGAGAAGGAGAAAGGAGGAGGAGGAGAAAGGAGAAAGAGAAAGGGAAAAAGAAATAGAAGGAGAAGAAGAAAGGAGGAGGAGGAGGAGGAGGAGGAGGAAGAGGAGGAGGAGGAGGAAAAAGGAGGAGAAAGGGAAAGAGAAATAGAAGGAGAAGGAGGAGGAGGAGAAAGGAGAAGTAGAAAGGCAAAGAGAAATAGAAGAAGGAGAAGAAGAAAGGAGGAGAAGGAGAAAGGAGAAGGAGAAAGGGAAAGAGAAATAGAAGAAGGAGGAGAAAGGAGAGAGAAAGAAAAAAGAGACGGAGAAGGAGAAGGAAAAACAGGAAAAAGGGAAAGAGAAATAGGAGGAGAATGGAGGAGGAGAAGGAGAAAGAGGAGAAGGAGAAAGGGAAAGAGAAATAAAAGAAGGAAAAAAGAAGAGGAGGAGAAGGAGGAGAAAGAAAAAGAAAAAAAAGAGAAAGAAAGAATTACGAGAAGGAGGAGAAGGAGAAGGAAAAACAGAAAAAGGAGAAAGGGAAAGAGAAATAGGAGGAGGAGGAGGAGGAGGAGGAGGAAGGAGGAGGAGGAGAAAGAGAGGGAGGGAGAGAATCAATTGTCTAAACCATCACTGCAGCTGTCGTCCAGGGAGAGTCTCAGCCATCCAGGTCATGGTTATCCCAAAGATGCTTTGTCAGGAAGTCAACTGGACTTCCTGGTTCTTTGAAGACGTTTCGCTCCTCCTCCCAGAAGCTTCTTCCACTCTGACCGAACGGCGGGCAACGGAAGGATTGATATTCTTTCGCAATCACCTGGTCGTTAGCCTTCCAAAAGGAGGTCGGGGCAATCCTTCCGCCAGAAGGGAAGAAGCTTCTCAGATAATGAGGAGCGAAACCTCTTCGAGGGAAAACAAAAAAAAAAGCACCTTGCAGACGTTTTACGACCCAACTGGGTAACTTCATCAGTGTTGAGAGGGAGAACCATGACTTGGTGGACCTCCGTAGACATCTGCACGCAAACAAACCAAGCTCAAGACAGCGTGAAGGAGCCCACAAAGTGACACGGGTTCGAGTCTAGACACAGAGATATGTTGCATTTCCAGAGGGTCCCACCCACGCAATGGGCATCCACGGCTGCCCCCTCCCCAGCGGAAACCTGAAAGGGGGAACCAGTCACTCACTGTGGACTGGGTCTTCTGCAGCTCCTTCAGAAGGAACTCCACCTTCTTCTGCGTGGTGAGGGAGGCCAGAGCGGCGTTGTGACTCCGGCAGGCCAGCTTGGCATTGTCGTAGCTGTCTTTTGTGTTGGTGATCCTCAGGCAGGAGTTGCCCACCAGGTGCCACGTGGCCCCACAGATGTTTTCTGCAAAAAAAAAAAAAATCATATATATAAAACAGGGGTCTTCAAACTTGGCAACTTTAAGACTTGTGGACTTCAACTCCCAGAATTCCTCAGCCAGCCCTCAGGGAATTGAAGTTCACAAGTCTTAAAGTTACCAGGTGGCATGGCTGGCTGAGGAATTCTGGGAGTTGAAGTCCACAAGCCTTAAAGTTGCCAAGTGGCATGGCTGGCTGAGGAATTCTGGGAGTTGAAGTCCACAAGCCTTAAAGTTGTCATGGCTGGCTGAGGAATTCTGGGAGCTGAAGTCCACAAGCCTTAAAGTTACCAAGTTTGAAGACCCCTGATATCAAATATATAAAATAATCAGCCACAAAAAAAAAATCCTTTTATGGCTTTGTGGGCTGTGATCTTCCCTGGGCGAGTTGGGAGAGGAAAGAGACAATGCGCAAAAACACAAACACAGTGCTTTGACGGCATGGCTGGCTGGGGGATTCTGGGAGTTGAAGTCCACCCGTCTTAAATTGGTCCGACTTTTTGTTACCGTACTGACGTCCTCGACTTACGGCCACAGGGGAGTACAAAATTTCTGTCGCTAAGCGAGGCAGTGGTTGAGTTTGTGCCCCCATTTTACGACCTTCTTTGCCACAGCGGCTAAGTGAATCCCTGCAAGTTGTTGAGTTAATAACACAAAATGGCTTCTCCCGTTTTGACTTTGCTTGTTAGGAGGTCGCAAAAGGAGGACCACGTGACCCCGGGACACAGCAAACCGTCATAAATGCGAGTCGGTTGTCATGCATCCGAATGTAAATCACATGACCAGGGGAAATGCTGCAATGATGGTTAAGTGTGAAAAACCATCTTAGAGTCACTTTTTTCAGTATTGTTGTAAACTTTGAACAGTCACTAAGCTAGGGGTAGGCAACCTTGGCCCCTTCATGACTCGTGGACTTCAACTCCCAGAATTCCTGAGCCAGCATGGCTCAGCTTGGAAACCTCTCCCTTTCCCCTCAGCATGGCTGGCTCAGGAATTCTGGGAGTTGAAGTCCACGAGTCATAAAAGAGCCAAGGTTGCCTACCTCTGGCCTAGGCCTAGGCCGCTTTATGACTCGTGGACTTCAACTCCCAGAATTCCTGAGCCAGCATGGCTCAGCTTGGAAACCTCTCCCTTTCCCCTCAGCATGGCTGGCTCAGGAATTCTGGGAGTTGAAGTCCACCAGTCATAAAAGAGCCCAGGTTGCCTACCTCTGGCCTAGGCCTAGGCCGCTTTATGACTCGTGGACTTCAACTCCCAGAATTCCTGAGCCAGCATGGCTCAGCTTGGAAACCTCACCCTTTCCCCTCAGCATGGCTGGCTCAGGAATTCTGGGAGTTGAAGTCCACCAGTCATAAAAGAGCCAAAGTTGCCTACCCCTGCACTAAGCAAACCCTCGTTAAGTCGAGGACCAATTGTATTATCTTTATTTTCTTTTTTTCTTAATATATTTTATTAAATTTTTTAACATAATCATCATTAATATTTGGTAAACAGCGTGTTGTCTGGATTTCTATTCACAATCAATAACAATTAATTTCTATAATTCCATACTCCACATAATAAGCTTTAATTGATTTTCTCTTCTTCCAATACTATTCTTTTTTACCAATCTTAAATTAGCACATTTCTTAGTCATTTCAGTAGGTAACAACTGAATATAGACATTTTTCCAGTGTTTCTACAAGTAACAACCCCATCAATACAAATCTTTTCTAGTTAATCATCTTAATCATCTTGTCACAGATCCTGTTTTTAAAGGTCTCGTTTAAATTTGTTTTCCCCGCAATGTTCAAAAAAAAAAAAACATTTTTCCCTGTTAAGATTTTCTTAAGAGTTAATTACACTTAAGCATTTAAGGCTTTTTCCTCATACAAGCCATGCCAACACCTTTTACATTTCTCATTATCTTAAAACAGAAGCAAAACAATTTTTTTTAAAAAATTGTTCATTGTTTCTTTTATTGCTGTATTGTTTAACTCCTGTATGGTTCACTCTCATTTCTAAAATCGATTTATTGTTGTAAGCAGCCTAAAGGACCCCCACGGGCGAGATAGGAGGCAAATAAAGTTAATAACAAATAAATTAATGAATGAATGAATAAACGTGATGATGACAAATAAATAAACAAAAACCAGGAAAGCTAAATCGAAACGTTTGTTCACGTCACACAAAAACAACAAGAGAGGACGGATTGTGAGGAAGGAAGAAGGACGCAATCTTGTTACGTGAGGCTGTAAAAAAAGACTCCCAGGGAGATGGGTGAGAATTCTGACAGCTCTGCCCCTTGGGAGGGAAATTTGACCAGGACCCCTTCAGGCGGTCCTCAACTTATAATGATTCATTTAGTGAAGGTTCGAAATTACAACATCACTTGAGCACTTGACTGAGGACTGTTTTTCACACTTAACGACCGTCGCAGCATCCCAGCGGTCAAAGGATCAAAATTCGGCGGCTTGGCAACTGACTCGCATTTATGACAGTGGCAGCGTCCCGGGGTCGTGTGATGACAAGCAAAGGGGGATTCGCTTAATGACCGTGTTCCTAACTTATCAACAGCAGGGATTCGCTTCACAGGTACGGCGAGAAAGGTCGTAAAATGTGGCGACACTGACTGAATCACTGTCTTGCTTAGGACTACTGGTGAGCACCCTGTCCAGTTCTTTTCTGGAGGGGGGCCGGAACCCAAGTTGTTGTTCCTTTTTTCTCTCCTTGGGGGGGGAGGGGGGCAGGGGAGGGAGGGGAAGGCCTACCGGGCAGAGCAATGCACTCCTGGTTCCGGGCTTCCCACTGGCAGTTCTGATCCAGACTGCAGCTCTTGCAACTGGTCTTCTTGTTGCAGTAGAAGGCCGGGTGGTCCTTGGGGCAGCTTTCGAAGGTGGCAATGGGGGTCTGGGAGAAAGGAAGGAAGAAAAAAAGAAAGAAAGGAAGGAAGGAAGGAAGGAAGGAAGGAAGGAAGGAAGGAAGGAAGGAAGGAAGGAAGGAAGGAAGGAAGGAAAAGAGAGCAAAAAATAAGCTTTCTTTCAGTCAAGCGGGATTGATTCAGTCTGCAGTCTTCCTTCCTCTCCTTCCCCCTTCCTCCCTCCCTCTTTTCCTTCCTTCCTCTCCCTTCCTTCTCCCTTCTTTCCTTTTTCCTTTCCTTCCTTTCCTTCCTTCCTTTCCTTTTTCTTCTTCCCTCCTGCTCTCCCTCCCTCCCTCTCCTTCCTTCCTCCCTCCCTTCCTTCCTTCCCTCCCTCCCTTCCTTCCCTCCCTCCATCTTTTCTTCCTTCCTTCTTTCCTCCCTCCCTCCCTCTCCTTGCTTTTTATCTTCCTTCCTCCGTTTTTCTTCCTTCCTCCCTCCCTCTTTTCCTTCCTTCCTTTTTTTCCTTCCTTCCTCCCTTTTCTTCCTCCTTCCCTCCCTTTTCCTTCCTTCCTTCCCTCCCTCCCTCCCTCCCTCCATCTTTTCTTCCTTCCTTCCTTCCTTCCTCCCTTTTATCTTCCTTCCTCCCTTTTTCTTCCTTCCTCTCTCCCTCTCCTCCCTTCCTTTTCTCCTTTCTTCCTCCTTTTCTTCCTTTATTCCTTCCTCCCTCCCTTCCTTCCTTCCCTCCCTCTTTTCCCTTCCTTCCCTCCCTCCATCTTTCCTCCCTTCCTTCCTTCCTCCCTCCCTCCCTCTCCTCTCCTTTTATCTTTCTTCCTCCCTTTTTCTCCCTCCCTCTCCTCCCTTCCTTTTTCCTTCCTTCCTTCCTTCCTCCCTCTCCTTCCTTCTTTTCCCTCCCTCCCTCCCTCCCTCCCAATCAGCGTCTCCCCAACCCAGCCCGGGCGTCAAGCGCCAAGGGGCTTCCCCTTGCAGAGGGGCAGCCAAGAGTGGCCGAAGGCTCACCTGGTCTTCCGAGCAGTTGCTGCTCTTGGACACGCACTGGTCCGTGCACCAGTGGCACCACTTGGTGTTGGCTGTGCAGCTGTAGCAGTCGGTGATCTGGTCGCATTTTTCCTGCTCCACAGCTGGGGAGAGAGGAGGAGAGCCGTCACCATCCCAGCCTCCGTGGCTGATCACCCGCCTCCGGGGACGGAGGGACAAAAGGTTTATTTCCTCTGCCCCAAGGATGCAGATGCAGCAGATGTGCTGCTCGGGGCAAGTGGACTTCTCAGGGAAACTTCCTGGCCAAAAGATCGCTCCAAAAGCAGATCCGTCTCCTTAGGAAGCGGGTGGGTTCTCCATCTCTGGAGGCTTTGGATAACAGAATGACAGAGCTGGAAGGGACTTTAGAGGTCTTCTAGTCCAGCCCCCTGCTGAGGCAGGGGATCCTATACCATTTCGGACAAATAGCTGTCCAGTCTCTTCTTAATAACTTCCAGTGTTGGAGCATTCACCACTTCTGGTGGCAGGCTGTTCCACTGGTTAATTCTCCTCACTGCTAGGAGGTTTCTCCTTAGTTCCAGGTTGCTTCTCTCCTTGATCAGTTTCCCTCCGTTGCTTCTTGTCCTGCCTTCTTCTGGGGCTTTGGAAAATAAATTGACCCCCCCTCCTCTTCTTGGTGGCAGCCCCTCAAATATTGAAGTCCTTCTCTTCTGAACTTTTACAGGAGACAGAATAACAGAGTTTGAAGGGATCTTGGAGGTCATCTAGTCCAACCCCCCGATCAAGCAGCCTACCATTTCAGACAAATGACTGTCCAGTCTCTTCTCAAAAGCTTCCAGTGTTGGAGCATCCACAATTCCTGGTGGCAAGCTGTTCCACTGGTTAATTGTTCTCGCTGTCAAGAAGTTTCTCCTTAGTTCCAGGTTGCTTCTCTCCTTGGTTAATTTCCATCTGTTGCTTCTTGTTCTGCCTTCAGGCGCTTTGGGGAATGGCTTGACTCCCTCTTCTTTGGGGCAGCCCCTGAGATACTAGAAGACTGCTATCCTGTCACCACTCTTCATTAGACTAGATCAGGGGCGGGCAACCTGGGCTCTTTTATGACTCGTGGACTTCAACTCCCAGAATTCCTCAGCCAGCATGGCTCAGCTTGGAAACCTCTCCCTTTCCCCTCAGCATGGCTGGCTCAGGAATTCTGGGAGTTGAAGTCCACGAGTCATAAAAGGGCCAAGGTTGCCTATCTCTGGCCTAGGTCTAGGCTGCTTTCTGACTCGTGGACTTCAACTCCCAGAATTCCTGAGCCCGCATGGGGAACAATGGCCCCTTCATGACAATGTGGACTTCAATTCCCAGAATTCCTGAGCCAGCATGGCTCAGCTTGGAAACCTCTCCCTTTCCCCTCAGCATGGCCAGCTCAGGAATTGGGAGTTGAAGTCCACATGTCATCAAAGAGCCAAGGTTGCCTACCCCTGGCCTAGACATACCATAATGGAGCCCAAAACTAAGCCAGACAGTTATTACGTGAATTTTGCCCCATTTTACGTGATCCCCGGGGACACTGCGACTGTCGTAATTATGAACCAGTGGCCAAGTGTCTGAATTTTGATCATGTGACCGTGGGGAGGCTGCGACAGTCGTGAAGTGTGAAACCCGGTCCTAAAACAGACATTCTTTTTTAATGGTCACTAACCAAATAGTCGTAAACGGAGGACTACCTGCATACCCACTATCCAGCTGACAAAGGACATTTCATGGCAGTGGACGAAATGAAAGGACATCGGACTTTCAAGGTCAAAAAAAAAATAAAATAAAATAAATTAAGAAATAAAAATAAAATCAAGCACCCCTCCCAATTTGATTTTCCATTGGCTACTCTGAAACAGTAAATACAACCTCACAAAGGAATGGGTATGCCGGTATTTTTCACCCTCGGCCACTTTAGGACCTGTGGACTTCAACTCCCAGAATTCCCCAGCCAGCCATCCCTGTTTCTTTTTCTCTTACCCCCTAAAGCAGGGGTCTTCAAACTTGGCTCTTTTATGACTTGTGGACTTCAACTCCCAGAATGCCTCAGCCAGGAATGCTAGCTGAGGAATTCTGGGAGTTGAAGTCCACAAGTCATAAAAGTTTGAAGACCCCTGCCCTAAAGTGAAGAGAGTGCAGAGAAAGGGATTAGAAGAGAATAAGCTATGCTGGCTGGGGAATTCTGGGAGTTGAAGTCCACAGGCCTTAAAAGTGGCCACGGACACAGTATGGATAAAAAAAACAATGTTTTATACGTACCCAGCGAAGAAGGACATTCTTCATTTGTTTTGTGTTCTTGCTGTGTAGGGGCCCCTTCCCAAGGGAGGCACTGGGAAACCGAGGCATTCCAGACACATCGGACGCCAGGGCCCGCCTTTAAGCAGGAGATCTTAGTGAGGTACGCTTCGCAGCTTTCGGGCGTGTATTTCACGAGGTCGCTCAAAAGCAGGCTGTTGAAGCCTCCGAAGAGGTACATGGTGCTAACAAAAAAAAAAAAAGGAAGAAGATGGAAGGGATTAATCCATGCTTCTGATGCTGGCAAGGAAGGCTGGGAAGCAGTCAAGATTGATTTTAGGGCCTATTGTGTAAGTCCCTTGGACCAGACCGGTCTATACTCATCAGAGTGGGCAAACAGCAAATCTCCTGCTTATTATTCTTCTCTTCTAAATTGTATTCTGTTCTATTCATACTTGTATTCTATTCTACACTCTAATCTCTATTTTGTTCTGCATTGTATTATTCTCTTCTATCATGTATCCTATCCTTTCCTATCCTATCCTATCCTATTCTATTCCTTATTCTATTCCTTATTCTATTCTATTCCTTATTCTATTCTATTTTATTCTATTCCTTATTCTATTCTATTCTATTCTATTCTATTGTATTCTATTCCTTATTCTATTCCTTATTCCTTATTCTATTCTATTCTATTCCTTATTCTATTTTATTCTATTCCTTATTCTATTCTATTCTATTCTATTCCTTATTCTTTTTTATTCTATTCCTTATTCTATTCTATTCTATTCTATTCTAGTCTATTCTATTCTATTCATTATTCTATTATATTCCATTCCATTCCATTCTAGTCTCTATTCTATTCTATTCTATTCTATTCTATTCTAGTCTATTCTATTCTAGTCTAGTCTAGTCTCCTCTAGTCTAGTCTAGTCTAGTCTAGTCTTTCCTATTCCTATTCTATCCCTATTTTATTCTATCCCTATCCCTGTTCTAATTCTATTCTACATTGCATTATTCTCTTCTATTCCATTCCATTCTATTTCTAATGTTAATTCTAATTCTATCTTGCATTATTACATCACCTTTGTGTCATACTACATTACATAACTTCTCCCCCCATCATCTCACCACAAAGCGACTCCAGCTGGCTTCCACACCTTATCGTATGAACGGTAACAAAGAGAGGCTTAGACAGGCTTATTCCCAAGCCATGGCTACCTCCAATCGACGTGAACTCCCAAGCGAACTGAAAAGGCTTGGGTGAATAGCTCACCTCACGTATTTTGAGGGCAGATATTTTTTTTTCTTCTTTTTTTTTTTAACTTTTGAAATGCAGAATGACGACCGGAGTGCAGAAGGAACAGAAACCTTTTAATTGCTGAGCGTCAGCTGAGCAAGCGAAGGGGAGCCAAAAACTAAACAGAACCTAAGTAGCGTTAAAACAACTTTCAGAGGGATATTTTTTTTTTTTTTTAAAGCGACGGGCGAAGCTGCAGATGAAGCGAGGGCTCGGCTGAAGCCAAGCAGAATGTGGGAGATACAAGAAAAGAGTTCAGGAAAGGCAGCTCGGAACCACAAGCCAGAACTGCCAACGGCTTTTGCCCAAGAGAAGATTTAAAAGGGGGGTCTTTCGGGGGGTGGGGAGCGGTTAAGCCATCTTGCTGCGATGGGAGGCCCATTAGCCAGCGAATGGGCTGGAAAAACTGAGTGGGAATCTTGTCGTTCAAAGCCAGGGGGACGGATGGAGGACCCCGTGAGCTAAATCATCATCTTTCAAAACTTGTAAAAAGTTATGTTCCCACAATTAACCTGTGCAGCTCGTCAGCATGCGGAAGTAAAGAGCTGGAGGGGGGGAGAGAGGAAGAATTGGACTCTGTTCAAGAGGCGATGCACACTCTGTTCAGACGATACGGTTGATGTAAAGGAGATATGGAGGTTGATGTAAAGGAGATACGGTTGATGTAATGGAGATATGGAGGTTTTTATGCTTCCCACCCCCCCAGGCTACATCTGAAGGACTAGGGGTGACATGATAGCAGTGTTCCAATATTTCAGGGGCTGCCCCAAAGAAGAGGGAGTCAAGCTGTTCTCCAAAGCGCCTGAGGGCAGGACAAGAAGCAACGGGTGGAAACTCATCAAGGAGAGAAGCAACCTAGAACTAAGGAGAAACTTCCTGACAGTGAGGACAATTAACCAGTGGAACAACCTGCCTCCAGAAGTTGTGGGTGCTCCATCACTGGACAAATGGCTGTCCCGTCTCTTCTTAACATATAAGGAACGGCTGCTGGAATTGGGGATGTCCAGTTTAATGAAGAGAAGGACAAGGGGGGACAGGATAGCAATCTTCCAGTATCTCAGGGACTGCCTCAAAGAAGAGGCAGTCAAGCTATTCTCCACAGCGCCTGAAGGCAGGACAAGAAGCAACGGATGGAAACTAATCAAGGAGAGAAGCAACCTAGAACTAAGGAGAAACTTCCTGACAGTTAGAACAATTAATCAGCGGAACAACTGCCTCCAGAAGCGGCGAATGCTCCAACACTGGAAGTTTTTAAGAAGAGACTGGACAGCCATTTGTCGAAATTGGTATAGGGTTTCCTGCCTGAGCAGGGGGTTGGACTAGATCACCTATAAGGTCCCTTCCAACATTATTGTTGTTGTTGTTGTTGTTGTTGTTATTATTATTATTATTAAGAAATTGGATAGCCATTTGGCTGAAATGGTATAGGGTTTCCTGCCTGAGCAGGGGGTTGGACTAGATGACCTAAAACATAAAAAGGAACGGTTGCTGGAATTGTCTAGTTTAATGAAGAGAAGGACGAGGCGGGACAGGATAGCAGCCTTCCAGTATCTCAGGGGCTGCCCCAAAGAAGAGGGAGTCAAGCCATTCTCCAAAGCGCCTGAAGGCAGGACGAGAAGCAACGGATGGAAACTCATCAAGGAGAAAAGCAACCTGGAACTAAGGAGAAACTTCCTGACAGTGAGAACAATTAACCAGTGGAACGGCTGGCCACCAAAAGTTGTGGGTCCCTCCATCAATGGAGGCTTTTAAGAAGAGATTGGATGACCATTGTCTGGAATGCTCTAGGCTCTCCTGCTTGGGCAGGGGGTTGGACTAGATGACCTCCAAGGTCCCTTCCAACTCTGTTATTCTGTTAGCGACTGGCGCTTCAGAGGCAGTATAATGTCCCGGAAAAATATCTTAAAACAAGATGTGTTTCACTGAGATTTGGGAGTCCTAAAGTGGTTACTTCTCCAGGCATCACAGCAACAGGAATCATCTATTGCGCGAAAACGGAATCAAATCCTTGGATTCCCATAACGGAGGAAACGGCTTCAAAAGCTGAGGGATTGGTTGGCAGAGATGGCTGAATGGAGTGCTTTGATTTAAAAAGAAAGGGGGGAGGGAAAGAACACAATTAAGTTCATTTCTATTTGGAAACTGCTTCTGGACTTTGTGCTTGAACTGGGGAAAAAAACTGATTTGGGGGTTTGGCTGACTAAACAGGCTTGTTATTATAGAAAGGACTAGCATGTGTTATTACGCAAAAGTAAAAAAAAAAATGAGGTGGTATATGTTATGATTTTGTTCTCCTGCACCATAAAGAGAATTTGATGCTTTTCTCTTTTTTTTCTTTCCTTTTTCCTTTCCTTTTCACCCCACGCTTTTTCTCCTTCCCTGTTTCTTTCCCTTCGCAGTTTTGCATTTTCGCTCTCGATAAAACGAATTAAAAACAAAAAAAATTAAGAACTAGAAAGGGTCTCCGGGAACCCACGACGACGACAACGCGCCCCCCCCCCGTCTCCCTTTTCCTCCTCCCACTATCACTTTCCACCCCAACGCAAGATACTCCGCCTCCTTACTTATTCCTCAGCACAGCCGAGTGTCCAAACCGGTTGATGTCGTGCGGGAGATCGGGGGGAGGAAGCACCGACCAGCGATCGCAAGCTAGGAGGAGAAAAGATGAAATAAAAGCTTGTTTCAAAAGCATTCAAGGGGCACGCCGGCCATAGTTTAAAACGTTGCTTTTTCCCACAGACATTTCAGTGACAGTTCAGAAAGCAAGGTTGTTATTCCAAAGGGCACGGAACTGTGGCGGGATTTACACGGCGAATGTAAATAGCAATAAAGGAGGATATTTGTAGCGCAGGATTGACATGAGGTAGCCCTTGGTAGTCTCTCAGCTGGCTTGTTTTCTTGCAGATGTTTCATTGCCCAACTTCACTGTTGTAGTAACGGTACAGTGATTGGTAACGTATCGGCAGGAGAAGGAGGAGGACTGTGTGGGGTCCTTGGTGCCCACTAAGCTTGGCGATTTTCTTCCAGACGTTCCATGACCCAACCAAGGGATAACATCAGAAAGGAGTGAGGTTTGTTTCTAGCACTTCCTTCTGGCACTGATGATGTTACCTAGTTGGGTCATGAAACGTCCGCAAGAAAACCACCCAGCTCAGAGAGCACCAAGGACCCCACAGTCGTCGTCGTCGTCGTCCTCCTCCTCCTCCTCTTCCTCCTCCTCCCATTCCCTTCTAGCACTGATGATGTTACCTAGTTGGGTCATGAAACCTCTTCAAGAAAACCACCAGGCTCAGAGAGCACCAGGGACCCCACAGTTGTCGTCAGAGCCTTTCCTTCATCTTTTGGGATTAAAAAATTGGATTAGGAGATGAAAACTGCCCTTTATGTTAACTTGGAAGAAAACATACTACATGTAGTCCACGGCTTACGACCGGTGACTTGAGTCCAAAATTCCCACAGCTAAGCGGGACAGACGTTAAGTGAGTTCTTCCGCCAGTTTACGATTTTTCTCGCCACGTTTATGAAGGAAGTCACCGCAGTTGATAAGGGACCAACGCCGTCGTTAAGTGAATTTGGCTTCCCCCCCCATTGACTTCACTTGTCAGAGGGCCACAAAAGGGGATTACGTGACACCCCCCGGGACACCGCAAACTGGCATAAGTACAAGTCAGGGGCCAAGCATTAGAATTTCGATCACGGGACTGCAAGTGCCGTTAAGTGTGAAAAACAGTTTAAGTCCCTTTTTTTTTCAGCGTCATTGTTAAGTTCGGTCATTAAACGAACTACTCTACGTGGATACATCTGAGGCCATACAAAGAAATCTGTTGTCATTTGTTCCTGGCTGCGTAAGCCCGTTTGATTGCTGGCCGACATTTGGCTGGCTCTTACATTTAACAGTGCTGTTTTGTTTGGGGAAGGAATATATGCCTTTCCCCCTCCCCCCCAGCGCATTAGGCGCATCTAATGCAGGGCGTTTCAACCTTTTCACCCATTGTACCACTTTTAGGATATGGCAACATCCGAGTAACACCAGTCGCCTAGCAAGGTGTCAAAAACTTGATGACCAAAAAAAAAAAAAGTGATAAAAGTACAGGTAGTCCTCGACTTACAACAGTTCACTTAATGACTGTTCGAAGTTACAATGGCACTGAACAAAGGGCCCCCCAAGCCACAGCCGAGTAAGACACCTGCCTGCCCGCCCAGCGATGCTCTTCCTCCTGTCCGAGGTTTTCATTGTTGTGAGCATTTCTGTTGAGGATTGGCAGCGCCGGTGGGGTGGGGGGTATTTGGTTTTTATTCCCCCCGTCTGCTGGGTGGTTGCAGCAGGTTTTGGTCCCTTCACATGACCCTGGGACATTGTGACCATCATAAATACGAATCAGTGGCCAAGCATCTGAATGTAAATCACATGACCCTGGAGAGGCTGCAACATTCCAGCTGATCGGCGCTTCTTCTGGGCTCAGCAGAAGCGCCAGGATCAGCACAGAGCTCCAGCTGGATCCTGGCGGTGATCCTGGCGCTTCCGCTGAGCCCTGACAGCCCCGAAGAAGCGCCGATCAGCTGGAAAGCGGCCCTGATCCTGGTGCTTCCGCTGAGCCCTGACAGCCCCGAAGAAGTGCTGATCCTGGGGCTTCCGCTGAGCCCTGATAGCCCTGCAGCTCCAGCCGTCTCTCACTCAGGCTTGTGCGGTGCTGCCACCGGATCAGCTCATTCCCCTCCCCTGCAACCACTTTTCTAGGATGGTCGCGTACCACCTGCCAGGTGCCAACGTACCACAGGTGGTACCCGTACCGCTGGTTGAAAAGCCCTGATCTAAAGGGAAGGGAGCCCACTACCCAGTGAGCTGAGTCCTCTGAAGCTAACGAAGATAGTTTTCTAGTTCAGAAGAACCACTCAGCATCAATGCCTCTCTCTCTCTCTCTCTCTCTCTCTCTCTCTCTCGCTCTTTTATTTTATTTTTATTTTATTTTTTTGTGCAAGGAAACCAAAGGAGAAGGGAGAAAAGCTCAAGGCTATGGAACTACCAAGGATTATTTCCTTCCTGACCTTTTGGGCCCAGCCGAGTTAAGATTTATTGTTCAGGGATCGCCAGGAATTTATGATGAACGAGAGTTTGCTTTTTCTTTGTGCCCGCGATGCCCGGGATTTGAGCACAGTTCATAATAGAAGGTTATTTACAGTCGGCTTTAGCCATGATGGCTAAAGACTTTTTTTTACAGTTTTGAAGGCGTCTTCAGAGGCTTCAACAGGCTAGCATGGCGTGGGAGAGACACGGAAGGCTCCGGAGAAAAAAAGACGAATAAATCCTTAATTCTGGCTTACGACATGGGGGGGGAGGGGATAATCACTCAAGATATTAGGTAGATTTTCCTTTAAACCATGGTTATCCAGCCCTTTGGCTCACCTGAGTGAAGGGGAATTGCCTTGGGCCACGTATAAAATGCATAATAAAAGTCAATGGGTATAAATTGCAAGCTTCCTTCCTTTTTTTAATGTTTTGTTATCCCATTTATTTCTACCCCATTTATTTGTACAAATAACTCAAGGTGGGGAACGTATCCGAAATACCTTTCTCCACGTTATTTTCTCCACAACGTCCCTGTGAGGTGGACTGGGCTGGGAGCGAAAGACTGGCCAAAACTCACCTAGTTGGCTTTTGGGCCTAAAACGGGACTAGAAGTCACCGTCTCCTGGTGATTAGCCCAAAGTCACCCAGCCGGCTTTCAGGCCTAAGGCAGGACTAGAACTCACCGTCTCCCAGTGATTGGCCCAATGTTAACCAGCCACATTTCATTCTTAAGGCGGGACCAGAATTCTCGGTCTCCGGGTGATTGGCCCAAAGCAGTGCTTCTCAAATAGTGGGGCGCGGCCCCCAGGGGGGGCGCGAGGCTCCGTAAAGGGGGGCTCGTTTGACCTCGGCAAATACTGTCATATTGGATTTCTAGATCGGATCATCCGACTCACTCGCAAGCGGCAGCCCGACGCGGAGGACACCATGACCGCCAACGCAGGTGACACATGCAAAGGACCCGATTGGATAGACATGATGCTCTATCCTGATTGGCCAAACCTGCCCGTGTGACTTTTAGACCCGGAAATCGGTCCTCTGTACAGAAAAAATTTTTTTACAGTCACGCGGGGGGCGCGAAATGTTTTCTTCTTCCTAGGGGGGCATGACAGAAAATAATTGAGAAGCACTGGCCCAAAGTCACCCAGCCAGCTTTTATGCTTATGGGCAGGACTAGGTCACCATCTCCTGGTGATTGGCCCAAAGTCACTCAGCTGGCTTTCATGCCCGAGACAGGACTAGAACTCACCGTCTCCTGGTGATTGGCCCAAAGTCACCAAATTGGCTTTCATGTCTAAGGCGAGACTAGAACTCACTATCTCCTGGTGATTGGCCCAAAGTCACCCAGTTGGCTTTCATGCCCGAGACAGGACTAGAACTCACCGTCTCCTGGTGATTGGCCCAAAGTCACCAAATTGGCTTTCATGTCTAAGGCGAGACTAGAACTCACTATCTCCTGGTGATTGGCCCAAAGTCACCCAGTTGGCTTTCATGCCCGAGACAGGACTAGAACTCACCGTCTCCTGGTGATTGGCCCAAAGTCACCCAATTGGCTTTCATGTCTAAGGCGAGACTAGAACTCACTGTCTCCTGGTGATTGGCCCAAAGTCATCCAGCCGGCTTTCATGCTTATAGGCAGGACAAGAACTCACGTCTCCCAGTGATTGGCCAAAGTCACCCAGCCAGCTTTCATGGCTAAGGCGGAACTAGAACTCCCGTCTCCTGGTGATTGGCCCAAAGTCACCCAGCCGGCTTCCATGCCTACGGCAGGACTAGAACTCACGTCTCCCACTCTTGTGGAGCAACAATACTAGCTGTTCAGCTTTGCGAATGCCCCCGAGGTGGTGAGTCGGACACTCCTGATTTAAAGCAAACAAACTGGGATGGCATTAAAAGAGGACTGGATCTTAATCCTCCCAGGTATAAAGGGATCTGTTCCTCCTCTTGAACTGAGCACCGACAGGAAGGATTGATTGACTGCTGCCCTCGTCTGGCGGTATGATTTGGAAAAAGGCCCAGATTGACACCTCTCACCGCGGGGACTCAAAACAGCTCGCATTTCCGCAGGCTGGATAGACAGCCGGGCAGGAGAGGCACAAAAAAACCCACAAAAAAAAACCCCACAAAGCATTGACAATGCCCCTGAAGTTCTTTTTTCATATGTTATCTGAGCTCTATTTTCGTATCTACAGGGACGCCCCAGCTTACGGCCGTCCATTTAGCGACCGTTTGAAAGTCACGACGGCACTGAAAAAGAGAGTTAGAATCGTGTTTCCCTCGCAACAATTCCCTCCGCATCCCCCGAGGTCACGCGATCAGAATTCAGATGCTCGGCAGCCGACTCGTAGTTATGACGGTCGCAGCGTCCCGGGAGCGGGGGGGGGCACGTGATCCCCTTTTGCGACCTTGTAACAAGCAAAGGCGATGGGGAAAGCCAGATTCGCTTAACGACCGGTGGGATCCCCTTAACAACGGTGGCCAGAAAGGTGGTAAAATGGGACAAAGCTCGCTTTGCCGCTGTCTCGCTTAGCGACAGAATGGCTGGACTCGACGGTGGCCGTAAATTGAGGACTGCCTATAATGGGGTGTCGCCTTATCAACGGAAGGAAGGGACAGGAACTCAAGCAGAGCCACGTCAGAAAAAAACCTGCCTCGGGATCTCTTCCGTCGTCCCCCAAAATGGATTACAGGCAGTCCCCAACTTACGACAGTTCGCTTAGTGATCGCTCGCAGTCACGACGTACGACCGCGTTTCACACTCACGACCTTTATGGCGTCCCCAGGATCACGTGATCGGCTTGGCAACCGATTCGTATTTATTTGCTGTGTGTCCCAAGGTCACGCGATCCCCTTTGGCGACCAGATTCCATTTAACGACCGGGTGGCTAGCTTGTCAACTGCAGGGGATTGGCTTAAACGACGGTGGCCAGAAAAGTCGTAAAGTGGGGCAAAGCTCACTGAAGCAATATGTCCCCCTTGCCAACGGAAGCATTGGGCTCAACTCTGGACATTAAGCCGAGGACTGCCTGTAATTGATTTCGTCTTTTTATAGAGAAGGGGGAAAAAAATCTCCCACTCAAGGAAGGGAAAGGCAAGCAAAGCCACACCAGAACCATTTCCTGCCTGAGCAGGGGGTTGGACTAGATGACCTCCAAGGTCCCTTCCAACTTTTATTATTATTATTATAACTTCCTTTGCTGTCTCTTCCATTTTCCCCCAATTGGACAAAACGTCAATGGAGATTCTCGGTCATCCAGGTCATAGTTATCCCAAAGGTGCTTCTTTTAGGAGGCAACTGGACTTCCTGGTTTTTGCTTTGAAGACGTTTCGCTTCTCCTCCCAGAAGCTTCTTCAGCTCTGACAGGAGGGTGGGCAATGGAAGGATACTCCTTGCAGACAGCTGGTCATTTGCCTCCTCTGAGAGAGTCATTTTCAGTGGTCATTACCTTTAAGTGTCTTGAATAAATAAGATAATAATGAAATACATGTATCACGAAGTTTGGGAATAAAGTGACGGGTGGCACCAAAAATTTTCACACAGTTGAGATATGGGAAAAAGACTGGAAGTAAATTATTTGCATCGATATGTCCTGATGACAATTTTAAAGAAAACAAAAAAAGGGTTTGGATAAATTGAAGAATTATTTCCTATGTTGTGACTGAGAGGTTATCTTGGGGGAGGGGGGGGCGATGACAACTTCCTCATTGGCTCAAGGGGGCGATTCGTTCAAAAAGGTTAAGAACCACTGCTCTAAAACAAGGTTCTTCAAACTTGGCCCTTTTATGACTTGTGGACTTCAACTCCCAGAATCCCTCAGCCAGGCACGCTAGTTGAGGAATTCTGGGAGTTGAAGTCCACTCTCTTAAAGTCTATATCAGGGGTCTTCAAACTTGGCCTTTTGATGACTTGTGGGCTTCAACTCCCAGAATTCCTCAGATAGGCACGCTGGCTGAGGAATTCTGGGAGTTGAAGCCCACAAGTCATAAAAGGACCAGGTTTGAAGACCCCCTGCTCTAAAAGAAGGCAAAGGACCAGCTGTCTGCAAGGAGTATAAATCCTCCCATTTCCCCAGCATCCAGTCAGAGCGGAAGAAGCTCCGTAGATAAGAAGCGAAACGTCTTCAAAGGAAAAACAAGAAAGTTCAGTTGCTTCTTGAATTAAGCATCTTTGGGACCCCAAATGGATTGTAACCAGCCCAGGGTAGCCCTTGCTTTTATTTCATTTTTATTTGTTGTTGTTGTTGTTAACTGCGAAGTCGTGTCCGACCCATCGCGACCCCACGGACCACGTTCCTCCAGGTCTTCCTGTCCTCTGCCATCTTCTGGAGTCCATTTCAGTTCACACCTCCTGCTTCAGGGACAAAACTCCATCCAGGTCGACATGGCACCTACCTATATCATAAGCCATGAAGTCTGAAGAGAAGCATTTCGCCCCCTGACTCATGGAGGTGTCGTTGTGGGTGTTGCCTCCGAAAACCAGCATGGTCCCACTGATGATCAACGCCGAATGCAGATACCGGGAGAATCTGCTCTCTTTCAAAATAGTCCTGGAGAATAAAAAGAAAAGAAACAGGCCTTCAGAAACCGTCTCTGCCTCGCTCTTCTCGGCTGTGCCCTGAACTAAAAAATAAAATAAAATACCCAAATAATACCCATCTGGGCAAGATTGCAGCGAAGGATCAGAAAAGCCAAAAAGGAGGAAGAACAGAAAAAAAAAATGCAATTGAATCACGGAATCGCTGACCCCTAATAAAGGGAGTTAAAATTCCGAGGAGAGATGCCTTTATTGGATATTATTTCCCCTTAAATCTTTCTGCCATGTTTTCCTCCCGGTTGTGGGAGAAAATTGCCGGTAATTTCCAAACCGCCACGAGAAAACCAATTGGGGGGAGCAGTTCTACCTTCGTAGGGAACTCTGGGACAGACTTTGGTGTGTTCCTTCCTGCCTTCTCTCTCTTTTATATTCCCCTTCCTCGATAAGATAAGATTTATTGTCATTTTTATACTGTGGGCACAATGGCACACATCAAAAATCAAATTTAGTTGCCCGCTCTCAAAGTGAAACACATACATGACACACACCTAAACATACTATGAACAACACATGTATAGACCCACATTCCCACATATACGTAGCAAATAAAATTAAATATTGTCCATCTTGAAAATAAATAAATATATATATATATATATATATATATATATATATATATATATATATATATATATATATGTAGGTCTTTGGTTGTTCGGGTTTTCTCCCGCGTAAAATTGGAAGTGTCTTGGCGACGTTTCGACGAAGTCCCATTCGTCATCTTCAGGCTGGTGTTTTCAGCTTCGTGCTTCGAGCAGCAATGGGGAATGGGACTTCGACGAATGGGACTTCGTCGAAACGTCGCCAAGACACTTCCAATTTTACGCGGGAGAAAACCCGAACAACCAAAGACCTACATACAAACACCCGCGAAAACCTCAGAAAACATATATATATGTAGGTCTTTGGTTGTTCGGGTTTTCTCCCGCGTAAAATTGGAAGTGTCTTGCCGACGTTTCGACGAAGTCCAATTCGTCATCTTCAGGCTGGTGTTTTCAGCTTCGTGCTTTGAGCAGCAATGTCACATTGCTGCTCAAAGCACGAAGCTGAAAACACCAGCCTGAAGATGACGAATGGGACTTCGTCGAAACGTCGGCAAGACACTTCCAATTTTACGCGGGAGAAAACCCGAACAACCAAAGACCTACATACAAACACCCGCGAAAACCTCAGAAAACAAATATATATGTTTGCAGTTGCGACTTGAGCCTGCTTAACGCCCCTAGTTGGGGGCTGCAAGGCAAAAGAGATTGTAAAAAGTAAAACTGCAGTATAGCAGTTAAAAAATATCAAGGTGTAATCAATTAGACATCTGTCTGAAAAACTTCCTGCATATATATATATTTGTTTTCTGAGGTTTTCACGGGTGTTTGTATGTAGGTCTTTGGTTATTCGGGTTTTCTCCTGAATAACCAAAGACCGACCGACCTACCTACCTACCTACCTACCTACCTACCTACCTACATACAAATAACATATATAACGTCTTGAATATATAATATATATAATATAATATAATCAGACCGGTCTGAAAAACTTCCCGTGTGTGTGTGTGTGTGTGTGTGTGTGTGTGTGTGTGTATAATATATAATATATATAATAAACATTTGAGCGGGATTTGTCTCGAGTTCAAACTGTAAAATGTGATTGATACAAACAAGATAATCTTCTGTCTGATTAACCAAGTACATATTTAACTTTGATGCTCTAATTTACAAGATTGAAACAGGGAACGCTTCCAAGAAAAATATATATGCTCTCCAATTGTACAGCTTCAGCTGGCTGAAACAAAGAACGGCCTGCTTTAAAATATGCGCTGGCTGCTTCTCTCCTATCAGCTGGAACCGAATAACTTAACTAAACCAGTCACTCCCCAAACATTTGTGGCTTAATTAGCCGTGGCATTTCCTTTGTTCCTATATTACGTCAGGACAGGCCTGTTTATAAGACGCATGGCTTCTGCACATGTTCGTTCATGAGTTGGATCCGTCTAATTGGCAAGATGCATTTTTAATGCACATGACTCAAATGTATCAAAGCGATTCTCTGGGGCACATTCTTGCCAAAACTGATAGGTGTTTGAACTATATTCAAAAACTATATTCTAGCAAAACATAAGAGACTAGTAAAAAAATAAAAAAGAATCTGCATTCACCCATCCATAGTGCAGGCCTAAAGGATCAGGGTCAAATTATTCTACTCTGGACACATTATGTGAAGATGCAGCCCTCCGGAGAAGACGCTGATACTAGGAAATAATGGAATGGAATGGAATGGAATGGAATGGAATGGAATGGAATGGAATGGAATAGAATAGAATAGAATAGAATAGAATAGAATAGAATAGAATAGAATAGGATAGGATAGGATAGGATAGGATAGGATAGGATAGGATAGGATAGGATAGGATAGGATAGGATAGAATAGAATAGAATAGAATAGAAAATATGTCATGGAATATAGAATAGAATAGAATAAAATAGAAAATATGTAATGGAATATAGAATAGAATAGAATAGAATAGAATACAATAGAATAGAATAGAATAGAATAGAATAGAATAGAATAGAATAGAATAGAATAGAACAGAACAGAACAGGAGCTGGAAGAGACCTTGGAGATCTTCTAGTCCAGCCCCCTGCTCAAGCAGGAGAACCTATACTATTTTAGCCAAGTGACTGTCCAGTCTCTTCTTAAAAATCTCCAGTGTTGGAGCATTCACAGCTTCTAGCTTCTAATTCTAGGCCAGCCCATGAAGCTGAAGCTGGACCAAGACTATCCTGGCGCTGGTCTCCCATCTCCTCCTGCGGGAGCAGCTGAAAGTCTAGGGACAGGGGTAGGCAACCTTGGCTCTTTTGTGACTCGTGAACTTCAAGTCCCAGAATTCCTGAGCCAGCTTGACTCAGCTTGGAAATCTCTCTTTTTCCCCTCAGCGTAGCTGGCTCAAGAATTCTGGGAGTTGAAGTCCACGAGTCATAAAAGAGCCAAGGTTCCCTACCCCTGGCCTAGGCCTAGGCCGCTTTATGACTCATGGACTTCAACTCCCAGAATTCCTGAGCCAGCATGGCTCAGCTTGGAAACCTCTCCCTTTCCCCTCAGTATGGCTGGCTCAGGAATTCTGGGAGTTGAACTCCACAAGTCATGAAAGAGCCCAGGTTGCCTACCCCTGGACTAGAAGGCTCACCACTTAGAACAGGAGGACTTAGGACAGGGGTAGGCAACCCTGGCTCTTTTAAGACCCATAGACTTCAACTCCCAGAATTCCTGAGTCAGCATGAAGGAACTATGGCTCCTTTATGACTGGTGGACTTCAACTCCCAGAATTCCTGAGCCAGCATGGCTCAGCTTGGAAACCTCTCCCTTTCCCCTCAGCATGGCTGGCTCAGGAATTCTGGGAGTTGAAGTCCACCAGTCATAAAAGAGCCAGGATTGCCTACCCCTGGCCTAGGAGAACCTCAAGTTGCAGGCTAATCTCTGAGAGGGGGAAATCACAACCCCATCAAAGGCTAAGCAGCACTCCTCCCCTACACACACACACACACACACACACACGCATGCACCAGGCTTCGAAACTCAATGAATCTACTTACCACTTGTACTTACGAACTTCGTATTTGTACAGGTCGTCTGTCAGCCTATATTTGTTCGCGCTGAAAGCCTTGTAACCTCCATGGGTATAGATGGACCCGGAGGATGGGTCATACACACTGCTGTGGCCATATCCTCCTTGCACCAAGGCTCCTCTGGTTTGCAAAATGCTCCAGGTGTTTGTGGCTAGGAGGGAAAGATAGGCAGACATGAAGCAGCTGCGCAGGGCTGTACTATACTATAGATTTATGACGGTCTCGGTGTCCCCGGGTCGTGTGATCGTTCTGACAAGCAAGAAGCTGGACAGCCACCTGTCTGAAAGGGTATAGGGTTTCCTGCCGGAGCAGGGGGTTGGACTAGATGACCTCCAAGGTCCCTTCCAACTTTATTATTATTATTTAATTTTTATTATTTTATTTTCATTACAATCGTAAGAAAAAAAATTCAGATACCTAAGAAGTTAAAATATAACACACAAATTCCGACATTGCTCACCCATTTCCCCCCAGACCGTATCCCCTTCTCATCTCTTCACTTCCCCCTTCCTTCTACCTCCTCCTCTGCTCCCCTCCCTCTCTCCTCCATCTTTCTACTTACTTATCCCTCTCCTCTTCTTCTCAATCGGATGCGGTCTGAGGAAAAATGCCCGAGCAATCCTCTATCACCAAAATCTGAACTATTGAACATACTACCCATACTCCACCCACCCCCTTTTCCCCCCCTGACTTCCCAGAGCTCAGTACAGGGTTACAAAAAAAAAAGAAAAGGAAAAAAAAAAGAAAACTAAACATAGTCAACTTAAATTTTCTACTTATACAACAACCGGAATCCTAATAACCCTTAACTCTCTGCAAACTTCCATTCATAATTTAATAAAAATCCATTATTCATCAAATAAATGAAACTTTGTTGTTCCCTACTTCTTCTGAATATATTCTATCCATCTTCTCCATACAGAAACATATCTCTTTTGTGAATGGTCCTTTAAGTAAGCAGAAATTTTAGCCATTTCTGCTAAGTTAGAAACCTTGAATACCCATTCTTCTAAAGAAGGCAGAGAATCTTTTTTCCAGTACTGACCCACCAATAGTCTTGCTGCTGTTCAACTTTATTATTATTATTAGCATTGTAAAATGGTATTAATACTTCACATGATCTTGATTCTATCCCTATGTTAATGCAGCCCAGCCCAGCTCATGGTCAAGGGATCGTCCACTAGGACTCCAAGGTCCCTCTCACAGTCGCTGTTTTTAAGCCGGGTCTCGCCCAATCTGCACTTGTACCTTTGATTTTTCCTGCCTAAGTGCAAGACTTTGCTTTTCTCCACACTGAAACACATTTTGTTGGACAGGGCCCATTGTTCAAATTTGTCAAGCTCTTCCTACGCACACAACCACACATGCTGAGCAGGATGTTAAAGCGCTAATACACCATCATTAGGATTTCTGTTATCTACTTCTATCTGGATGTTTGTCTACCCTGCGGCTAAGAGATTCGGGGACAAAATGCCACACTAGACTGAAGTACACAGAAGAGACACACCGGTAGCGCTCTAGAGGATTTACAGTTCATAAGGGATCAAGGAGACTGAGATTAAAACAAGCAGACCCCGAAAAAGCAAAAGGGGGCGAAAGATCTGATATGGAAAACGTCTACCAAGTGAGGCTAGGAGGCCCAAGGGACAAGAAATAAATAAAGGAGAATCTTTGTAGCTCAGGGTATGAGGTTTGCATGGAGGAGGAGGGGGGGGGGAAGAGGAGGAGGAAGAGGAGGAGGAGGTGGAGGGGAAGGAGGGGGAAGAGGAAGAGGAGCAGGAGGAGAGTTGTGGGATCCTTGATGGTCTCTGAGCTTGGTGGTTTTCTTGCAGACATTTCATCACCTAGCCAGGTAACACAATCAGTGCTAGAACGGTGTGGGGTTTGCAGAGAGGAGGGGGAGGAGGAGGAGGAGGAGGAGGAGGAGAGGAGGAGGAGGAGGAGGAGGAGGAGGAGGAGGAGGAGGAGGAGGAGGAGGAGGAGAGTTGTGGGGTCCTTGGTGCTCTCTGAACTGGATGGTTTTCTTGCAGACATTTCATCACCTAACTAGGTAACACAATCAGTGCTAGAAGGGTGTGGGGTTTGCAGAGAGGAGGAGGAGGAGGAGGAGGAGGAGGAGGAGGAGGAAGAGAAGGAGGAGGAGGAAGAGGAGGAGGCGGGAGGAGGAGAAGGAGGAAGAGGAGGAGAGTTGTGGGGTCCTTGGTGCTCTCTGAACTGGATGGTTTTCTTGCAGACATTTCATCACCTAACTAGGTAACACAATCAGTGCTAGAAGGGTGTGGGGTTTGCAGAGAGGAGGAGGAGAAGGAGGAGGAGGAGGAGGAGGAAGAGGAGGAGGAGGAGGAGGAGGAGGAGGAGGAAGAGGAGGAGGCGGGAGGAGGAGAAGGAGGAAGAGGAGGAGAGTTGTGGGGTCCTTGGTGCTCTCTGAACTGGATGGTTTTCTTGCAGACATTTCATCACCTAACTAGGTAACACAATCAGTGCTAGAAGGGTGTGGGATTTGCAGAGGAGAGGAGGAGGAGGGGGGGTGGGGGTGGTAGTGGTGGAGGAGAACTTGAAAGTGAGAACAATTAACCAGTGGAACAGCTTTCCTCCAGAAATTGCAGGTTCTTCACCACTGGAGATTTTTAAGAAGAGACTGGACAACCATTTGTCTGAAATGGTAGAGGATCTCCTGCTTGAGCAGGAGGTGGGACTAGAAGACTTTGAAGATCCTTTCTAACTCTGTTATTCTGCCTAACAAAGAAAAGAACTAGGGGTGACATCATAGCTGCCTTCCAGTACTTGGGGGGGGGGGCTATCCCAGGGGTTCAACCTCTTCTCCAAAGCACCTGAAGGCAGGACAAGAAGCAACAGAGGGAAACTAATCAAGGAGAGAAGCAACCTAGAACTAAGGAGAAACTTCCTAACAGTTAGAACAATTAACCGGTGGAACAACCTGCCTCCAGAAGCGGTGAATGCTCCAACACTGGAAGTTTTTAAGAAGAGACTGGACAGCCATTTGTCTGAAATGGTGTAGGGTTTCCTGCCTGAGCAGGGGGTTGGACTAGATGACCTGCAAGGTCCCTTCCAACTCTTGTCGTTATTCTGTTCTTTACAAGAGAGACAGTCACGCCAAGCCAACGCTCACCTAGATTGTACTCCTGCACGCTGCTGATGTAGCCGTAAAGAGGGCAGTGGCCAAAGAGGACCAGCATCACCACCGTGCCGTCCTCCAGGGTGACGATGTGGGCCGAGTGGCCCACCACAGCGTACTGCTCCTTGGCCTTTGGCACCAGGGGAACCCAGGAATGGTTGGAGATGTGGAACAGCCAGAGCTGATTCGTTACGTTGCCGGTCTCGTCTACCTTGCCTCCATACATGTAGATTTTGTTCTGGAAGAAAGAGAGAGGATATTTATAGATAGATAGATAGATAGATAGATAGATAGATAGATAGATAGATAGATAGATAGATAGATAGACAGACAGACACAGACAGACAGACAGACAGACAGATAGATATTATTTTTTATAATCACAAGTGCTTAAAATATTATCAACAACATATGGTCTGGTTTTAATGTCTACTTTACTAATACGTATCCAGTTCCTTTCTCTCTACCTTGTTTTTCTAGCCAATGATTAAAAGTACCCCATGTTCTAAAATAAACTGAGTCTTCTCGGAGTCTTAGTGGACGATCCCTTAAATAGGAGCCAGCCGTGTGCTGTAGCTGTCAAAAAAGCTAACACAGTGCTGGGCTGCATTAACAGAGGGATGGAATCAAGATCACATGAAGTGTTAATACCACTTTACAAGGCCTTAGTAAGGCCACACTTGGAATACGGCATCTGGTCGCCACGATGTAAAAAAGATGCTGAGACTCTAGAAATAGTGCAGAGAAGAGCAACAAAGAGGATTAGGGGACTGGAGGCTAAAACATATAAGGAACGGTTGCTGGAATTGGGGATGTCTAGTTTAATGAAGAGAAGGACGAGGGGGGACATGATAGTAGCCTTCCAGTATCTCAGGGGCTGCCCCAAAGAAGAGGGAGTCAAGCTATTCTCCAAAGCGCCTGAAGGCAGGACAAGAAGCAACGGATGGAAACTCATCAAGGAGAGAAGCAACCTGGAACTAAGGATAAACTTCCTGACAGTCAGAACAATTAACCAGTGGAACAACCTGCCTCCAGAAGCGGTGAATGCTCCAACACTGGAAGTTTTTAAGAAGAGACTGGACAGCCATTTGTCTGGAATGGTGTAGGGTTTCCTGCCTGAGCAGGGGGTTGGACTAGATGACCTCCAAGGTCCCTTCCAACATCATCATCATCATTATTATCATCATCATCATCATCATCATCATTCTTTCTCTTTCCTTTTCAATGTCAAAAGATACATTTCTGCACACTCTTCAGATTTTTTTTAATTCACACTTCCTCCGCTGGTCGACCTTCCTTTTTCCAATATTGAGCAAATACAATTCTTGCCACAGTTAATATATGTCAAATTAAATATATTCACTCTAGGTAGAAGAAAGAGGGAGGATATTGATGGACGCGTTAAGAGTTCCATCCGGCCCCTCCACCATGAGAGGGAGTCCTTAACTTGCAAGCACAAGGGAGCCCCAAATTTCTGTTGTTAAGGGAGACGGTAGTTAAGCGAGGCTTGCCCCCATTTTACGACCTTCCTCGCCACGGTGGCTAAGTGAATCGCTGCAGTTAAGTCAGGAACACGGTCGTTAAGCGAATCCAGCTTCCCTCATTGAGGTCGCAAAAGGAGATCATGCGACCCCCAAGGACACGGCAACCGTCATAAATAGGAGTCAGCTGCCAAGAGGCTGAACGTTGATCGTGTGGCCACAGAGATACTACGGCGGTCGTTAAGTATGAAAAATGGTCCTAAGTCCCTTTTTTTTCAGCGTTGCAACTCTGAACGGTCATTCAATGAATGGGTGTAATCTTGTATCTGCCCCATTTCTCCAACCCCCTGCGCGAAACCAGCAAAGGTTCTTGTCATAACAAGGGCAGGGAGTCCCTCCACGTACGACCGCAGCGGAGCCAAAACGTATGTCGCTAAGCGAGACATTTACAAAAGGGAGCTTCACTCCGCTTTACAACCTTTCTTGCCGCAGTTATTAAGTGAATCCCTGCAGGGGTTAAGTAACTCACATGGTGGTTAAGGGACCCTGGCTTCTTCCCCCGTTAGCTTCGCTTGTCGGGAGGCCACAAAAGGAGATCGCGTGATCCTAGGACATGGCGACCGACGTGAATATGAGTCATTTGCCCGGCATGGGAACTTTGATCAGATGACCATAGGACAGTTTCCTCCATGCTGGCTCAGGAATTCTGGGAGTTGAAGTCCACAGGTCATAAAGCGGCCTAGGCCTACACCAGGGGTAGGCAATCTTGGCTCTTTTATGACTGGTGGACTTCAACTCCCAGAATTCCTGAGCCAGCCATGCTGAGGGGAAAGGGAGGTTTCCAAGCTGAGCCAGGCTGGCTCAGGAATTCTGGGAGTTGAAGTCCACCAGTCATAAAAGAGCCAAGGTTGCCTATCCCTGGTCTAGGCCTAGGCCGGTTTATGACTGGTGGACTTCAACTCCCAGAATTCCTGAGCTAGCATGGCTCAGCTTGGAAACCTCTCCCTTTCCCCTCAGCATGGCTGGCTCAGGAATTCTGGGGGTTGAAGTCTACGAGTTATAAAAGAGCCAAGGTGGCCTAGCTCTGCCATAGGGGGATGTTGCTAGGGATTGTGATCAATAATGGTCCCCAAATTCCCTTTGTCAACACTGTGACAAACAGAACAGAAGCCATTTTAATTTTTGTCTTCGTTGCCACATATAATAATAATGATGATGATGATGATGATGATAAAAATAAAAATAAAGCTGGAAGGAACCTTGGGGGTCATCTAGTCCAACCCCCTGCTTAGGCAGGAAACCCTATACCATTTCGTACAAATGGCTGTCCAATCTCTTCTTAAAAACTTCCAGTGTTGGAGCATTCACCACTTCTGGAGGCAGGTGGTTCCACTGGTTAATTGTTCTAACTGTCAGGAAGTTTCTCCTTAGTTCTAGGTTGCTTCTCTCCTTGATCAGTTTCCATCTGTTGCTTGTTGTCCTGCCTTCAGGTGCTTTGGAAAATAGCTTGACTTCCTCTTCTTTGGGGCAGCCCCTGAGATATTGGAAGACTGCTATCATGTCCCCCCTCGTCCTTCTCTTCATTAAACTAAATCAAGGGTAGGCAACCTCGGCTCTTTTATGACTTGTGGACTTCAACTCCCAGAATTCCTGAGCCAGCATGGCTCAGTTGGAAACCTCTCCCTTTCCCCTCAGCATGGCTGGTTCAGGAATTCTGGGAGTTTAAATCCACCAGTCATAAAATAGCCAAGGTTGCCTACTTTTGAACTAGACATACCCAATATTAGTTTAGAGATTTTAGCTAAAGGAGAAAGGAAGGGAGGTGTAGTTTGCAGTTAGCCAAAACAACCTCTGTCCGTGAGAACCAAGGTCAACGCTAATTAACATTTTGGTGGGTTGAAACGATTGGTGAATGTGATTTATGACAGCAAATTGGGATGGGAATTGCAAATTTTTTATCTTTGCAGCCCGAGGGAGGGGATTTTAGTCTTGGGATTACCTTTGTACGTGCTCATGTCTTGTTTCCTAAATAAAATCTTCTTTAAGGAAGAAATCCTTGCCTCGAAGTTCTTTTAAAGGGTTTCGTCTATCGGAACCGTGACAGGCTCAGGGCCGTTGGGACTTCAAAGACACTGTCGTAACATGAGGACTAGCTCCATCACTTCGATCAAGCCAGGTTTCAGAGCCAAGCCGGGTTAGAGAAGTCTCAAGGACGTAAAATTAAAAACAAAAAAGGCCACTTACTTCGTGTAAGGCTATCGAATGGCCGTATCTGATCCCCACGGTGTTCGCAGAATCACCCAGGGTCATCCACTCTCTGGACTCCAGGTTATACCTGTGCAATAAAAAAAAAGCACAAAACACAACGCCTGTCTCCTTTCGCCCTGGAGAACGCAGCCGTTGTCGTCCTCGCCGCGCTGAGGAAGAAACAAGGGAAGCCAGACGGAGAAAGGCCAGGGATATTTACGGATGGGCCTGCTACGTCAATAAAAATAAAGCTGATTTAGGTATCAGCTATTCTGCTTTTTTATAGCCGAGAAAGCCTTTGCGCTAATGCTCGAAAGCCAGGGAACAAGGGAAACGAGAGGGCAGCTTTGCTCCATTTGTTCAGAAGCCATTTTGCACACCTCTCCGGCGAAGCCTTCGAGGCAGCAGAAGAATAAGCAGCGTCTCCTCTGGAGGAATTAAGACGGGTCTGAAAAGGTCTGAACACGGCCGGGTTTTCTTTACTAACACTGTGTCGGTTTCATAAAATCCTCAAAGAGCCAGAAAATGAATAGAGGAGAATTTGGAGCTCAGGGTTGAAATGAGGGGGACGGCTGTTTGCTCTCTGAGCTGGGTGGTTTTCTTGCAGATGTTTCATCACCCAACTAGAGAACATCATCAGTGCTAGAAGGGAGGAGGAGGAGGAGGGGGGGAAGGACGACGACGACTGTGGGGTCCTTGGTGCTCTCAGAGCTTGGTGGTTTTCTTGCAGACATTTCATGACCCAACTAGGTAACATCATCAGTTGTAGAAGGGAGTCGGAGGAGGAGGAGGAGGAGGAGGAGGAGGAGGAGGAGGAGGACGACGACAACGACTGTGGGGTCCTTGGTGCTCTCTGAGCTTGGTGGTTTCCTTGCAGACGTTTCATCACCCAACTAGAGAACGTCATCAGTGCTAGAAGGGAGAGGGGTTTGTGGAGAGGAGGAGGAGGAGGAACTGTCGGATCCTTGATGCTCTCTGCACTTAGCAAGCCACTAGAACAGTGGTTCTCAACCTTTTTAATGCCACGACCCCCAACCGGTCGTAAGTCGAGGACTACTCAACCGGTCGTAAGTCGAGGACTACTCAACTAGTGCAGCACCGTTTGCAGAATGGGACTTTTGGCGGGCTCAGCAGGGCAGAGACAGCCTGGACAATTCCTATTGGCTTTTGAAAGCCAATAGAATTAGACTCTATTCAAGAGAGTCTATTCTATTGGCTTTCAAAAGCCAATAGAATAAAAGGGAGTAGCACAGCTAAGGAAAAGGGGGAAAAAATGGCAGACTGCGTTGTTTGGCGACCCCCGTGAAATGGTCGTTCAACCCCAAATGGGGTCCTGACCCACAGGTTGAGAACCACTGCACTAGAACATAAACTGAGAGCAAACCCGACTCCCTTCTAGCACTGATGATGTCACCCAGTTTGGTAATAAAATGTCTGCAAGAAAACAACCAAGGTCAGACAGCGGCAAGGACCACCGCAGTCAGGAAAGTGCATTTGGTGTAATTTATTCTAGAAAACAAAATTACAACCCTTTTCTTCTCCCCAAAAAACAAATTAATGCAGTTCACCAACACAAAATAACAACCAAAAACAGAAAAAAAAACCCCACCAGGGACAAAATAATCAACGATCCATCTTTAAATTACCATAACCGGAACCCATGAGGCAGAGCACAAGAGCTAAAAAAAGACGCACACTGGATGAGAATAATGTTCACCTGCTGGCAGGAAAAGAGGAGAATTCCCACGGCAGCCCAATAAATTTGGACTATAATCTTTCACAAAAAGAACACCATGTTTCCGTGGGGGTGGTTGAAAAGACGAAAGCGTGTTGAAGTCCCCTATCCTGTAAATCAGGGATCTCCAACCTGTGGCCGCGCGGGCTGGTAGTGAGCTGTGGCCCCCTGGCACATGCGCGCGCACACCCACTCACTTGCGCTAGCACCACAGCCTCAGGGCACAAAAATGGACTGCTGCTGCACCTCAGGACGCAAAAATGAGACAACGACGCAACTCGGGGCACAAAAACAGGACACCGCTGTTCCACAGGGTGCAGAAATGGCCACCACTACACTGCAGGGTACAGAAACATGCCACCGCTGCAGGGTGCCAAAACAGGGTGCCACCACGCCACTGGCCGCAGGAACGGGCCACCGCCACGCTGTAAGACACAAAAATGGCTGCCGTAGCGCCACAGTGCGCAGAAAGACACTGCGCCACGCAAGAACGGGGCAGGGCTATCGGGTATCACGTCGTAGGCACCAGTCCCGCCCCCTTTGCGGCATGTGCATGCTCACGGCCCTGTGCACACACGCGCACACGCATGTGTGTAAAATACTACCCCCTCCCTTTTTCTCCGATCCGCCAACTGATAAAGATTGGTGACCTCTGCTGTAAATATTTGGTAAGGACTTTATAAAAATCTGATAATTAAAGGGACATATAAATTTGGGGGAGGAGGGGCACAATGGCTCAGTGGTTAAAGACGCCGAGCTCATCAGCTAGAAAGCTGGCAGCCCGGGTTCGAGAGCTGAGCGCTGCGCGACGGGGTGAGCTCCCGTTCCTTGCTCCAGCTCCTGCTCGCCATTCGAAAGCATGCAAATACAAGTAGATAAATAGGTACAACTTTGGTGGGAACGGAACAGTGTTCCATGGGCCTTTAGCATATAGCCATGCTGGCCATTTCTCGTACAATTTCTGAGAAGGTCCCATGACTGTAGTGCAGGGGTCCCCAACCTTGGCCATTTTAAGACCTGTGGACTTCAACTGTGGCTGGGGAATTCTGGGAGTTGAAGTCCACAGGTCTTAAAGAGGCCATGGTTGGGGACCCCTGCTGTAGTAAACCACACAGCGACAGCAAGAGCACTCAGACTTACTCTATGTACCTCTTCACGGTGCTTTTACAGCCCTCTCTAAGCAGTTACACCAGTGGTTCTCAACCTTTTTAATGCCGCGACCCCCCCAACCGGTCGTAAGTCGAGGACTACTCAACCGGTGCAGCACCTTTTGCAGAATGGGACTTTTGGCAGGCTCAGCAGGGCAGAGACAGCCTGGACAATTCCTATTGGCTTTGGAAAGCCAATAGAATTAGACTCTATTCAAGAGAGTCTATTCTATTGGCTTTCAAAAGCCAATAGAATAAAAGGGAGTAGCACAGCTAAGGAAAAGGGGAAAAAAATGGCGGACTGCGTTGTTTGGCGACCCCCGTGAAATGGTCGTTCGACCCCAAATGGGGTCCCGACCCACAGGTGGAGAACCCCTGAGTTACACGGAGTCGGCCTATTGCCCCCAACAATCTGGGTCCTCATTTCACCGACCTCGGAAGGACGGAAGCCTGAATCGATCCATCAGTCAGGATCGAACTCCTGGCAGTGGGCAGAGTTAGCCTGCAATACTGCACTTTGACGCCTCAAATGTCTCTGGATCACCAGGAATTCTTTACCTTGTCTAGCTTGGATTCAGGAAAAAAAATCTTCTCACAGCCGGTAGAAGTTCACACCGCAACCGATAAGTTACACAGAAGCCTATTTCTAGCGTTAGGGACCCTGCTGGGTTTAATCTGCAGAAATGTACATTTCCTTCCACGCTTAAAATCTGCTTTTTACTCACGCCAAGACCATCTGAGAATCCGTGTGATTGAACATGTAGCCACCGATCACCCACATGACCTCGTCTTGGACCACGGCTTTGTGAGATGCCCGCGGGAGTTTGGGGACGTAGAATTCATCCCGGGTCCAAAAGGAGCGATTCGATGGAACAGGAACCGAGCAGTCAACACCTACGAGGGGCAAAAGACATCGTCCGTTATACCCTCAGCTATCTTAATCTAGCACTGCACAGGTGGTCCCCGGCTTACGACCACAGCTGAGCCCAAAATCTATGTTGCTAAGCGAGACATTTGTTAAGTGAGTTTCGGCCCATTTTACGAGCTTTCTGGCCCCGGAGCTCAATTGTGGACAATTTTCACGCAAAACAGCTAAACAGATGTAGGATTTCCAGGCCTCTAGCAAAACGAGCTTATGAAAAATTATTCAATCAGTCTGACAAGGTGCTACCACATTCCTGATTTTTCGCTGCCCTAGACCAAGGATAGATAACCTTGGCTCTTTTATGACTCGTGGACTTCAACTCCCAGAATTCCTGAGCCAGCCACACTGAGGGGAAAGGGAGAGGTTTCCAAGCTGAGCCATGCTGGCTCAGGAATTCTGGGAGTTGAAGTCCGTGAGTCATAAAAGAGCCAACGTTGCCTACCTCTGGCCTGGGCCTAGGCCGCTTTATGACTCATGGACTTCAACTCCCAGAATTCCTGAGCCAGCCATGCTGAGGGGAAAGGGAGGTTTCCAAGCTGAGCCATGCTGGCTCAGGAATTCTGGGAGTTGAAGTCCGTGAGTCATAAAAGAGCCAACATTGCCTACCTCTGGCCTGGGCCTAGGCCGCTTTATGACTCATGGACTTCAACTCCCAGAATTCCTGAGCCAGCCATGCTGAGGGGAAAGGGAGGTTTCCAAGCTGAGCCAAGCTGGCTCAGGAATTCTGGGAGATGAAGTCCACGAGTCATAAAGTGGCCTAGGCCTAGGCCAGAGGTAGGCAACCTTGGCTCTTATATGACTCGTGGACTTCAACTCCCAGAATTCCTGAGCCAGCCATGCTGAGGGGAAAGGGAGAGGTTTCCAAGCTGAGCCATGCTGGCTGAGGAATTCTGGGAGTTGAAGTCCACCAGTCATGAAGGGGCCAAAGTTTCCCTCATGCTGGCTCAGGAATTCTGGGAGATGAAGTCCACAAGTCATAAAGCGGCCTAGGCCAGAGGTAGGCAACCTTGGCTCTTTTATGACTGGTGGACTTCAACTCCCAGAATACCTCAGCCAGCCACGCTGAGGGGAAAGGGAGAGGTTTCCAAGCTGAGCCATGCTGGCTCAGGAATTCTGGGAGTTGAAGTCCACGAGTCACAAAAGAGCCAAGGTGGCCTATCTCTGGCCTAGGCCTAGGCCGCTTTATGACTCGTGGACTTCAACTCCCAGAATTCCTGAGCCAGCATGGCTCAGCTTGGAAACCTCTCCCTTTCCCCTCAGCATGGCTGGCTCAGGAATTCTGGGAGTTGAAGTCCACCCGTCATAAAAGAGCCAAGGTTGCCTTCCCCTAGTATAGGCCTTTCTTTTTGGGAAACACGGTACTTGGTTAAAAAAAAAAAAAGTGAAACAAATACCGTTAAAAAGCATCTGCCCAGCTGTGCAATTCATCCCAAGGGAATTGTTTTTACCTACCTTGCCAGCCCGGGTTACAGATGCAGCCCTGAGTTCCGTTCACGCTGCATTGACCCCTTTCGGGAAAGCCGCAGTCTTCCGGGCAATTGGGAATATCGCAGGCCTCTCCTTTCCAATGTTCCCAACACTCACATTCAACCGCTTGGCTGCCGTTCACGGGCCGACATTCCCCTCTGCCCGAGCAGTTCTGGGGACAGACGTTGAAGCTGCAAAGATACAAATCAACGGTTTATTTTACAAGCTTCTGGCAGGGTAAGTGGACCCCGGAGCTTGACGTGCCATCCCTGAAGTCCAGTGAATCATGCCGTTGTGCCCAGATGGTTAAAGGTAAAAAAAAAAAAAAAAATCTTCTTTTCAGCAGGGTTTCCAAATGCTACGTCAACAGAAATGTAAGTTGCAGCTACCTGGATTTTTAAAGAGAATTATCTGTAGCTCGGGAGTTGAACTGTGGGGTCCTTGGTACTCTCTGAGCTGGGTGGGTTTTTCTGCAGATGTTTCGTGACCCAACTAGGTAACCTCATCAGTGCTAGAAGGAAGGAGGATTGGAGGAGGAAGAGGAGGAGGAGGAAGAGAAGGAGGAGGAAGAGAAGGAGAAGGAGGACGACTGTGGGGTCCTTGGTGCTCCCTAAGCTTGTTGGGTTTTTTTGCAGATGTTTCATAACTCAACTAAGTGACATCATCAGTGCTAGAAGGGAGTGTGGGGTTTGCTAGGAGGAGGAGGTGGAGGTGGAGGAGGAGGAGGAGGAGGAGGAGGAGGAGGAGGAGGAGACGACTGTAGCATCCTTGGTTCTGAGTTTTCTTGCAGATCAGTACTGATGATGTTACCTAGTTAGGTCATGAGACGTCTGTAAGGAAACCACCAAGCTCAGAGAGCATCAAGGACCCTCCTTCTCCTTCTCCTCCTCCTCCTCCTCCTCCTCCTCGCCACAAACCCCACTCCCATCTAGCACTGATGATGTTACCTAGTTGGGTCATGAAACATTTGCAAGAAAAACACCAAGCTCAGAAAGCACCAAGGATCCTACAATCCTCCTCCTCCTCCCCCTCCTCCCTGCAAACCCCACTCCCTACTATCACTGATGATGTTACCTAGTTGGGTCACGAGACGTCTGCAAGAAAACCACCCAGCTCAGAGAGCACCAAGGACCCCAAAATTCAACCCTGAGCTACAAATACTCTTTTCTAACCAAACAGACTTTCAAAAGAAGCCGTAAGCGCCGTTCGCTCCCATGCATTTGCTCATCCTCCTTCAGAAGTCAATGAAACAGCCCCTTGAAAGACTTCAAAGCCGCACAAACCCTCTCGGGGGCAGCGCTAAGGTGTGAGATAAACAAGAAAGCATCACGTGTGCAAAGCCACAAAGAAGGAAGCGGTCCCCAAGATAGGCAACCTACGATCTTTGGGACAAAATTTCTGATTCTGCTGGCTGGGGAATTCTGGGAGTTGAAATCCAACCCTCTTGAAATGGGGAAGGAACCCTGCTCTCCAAGATCCACCAGAGAGAGAGAGAGAGAGAGAGAGAGAGAGAGAGAGAGAGAGAGAGAGAGAGAGAGAGAGAGAGAGAGAGACAGACTCTTCCCTCCAGCTTGCTAGGTCAGGAGAATTCAGGCAGCAACTATTGGTGGATTTATTTCAAAACAAACGTGCGAAAAGAATTCCCAACAATTTCAATCAAGACAACTCCAGTCGCAAAACAAGATGCCACCAGTTAAGGGAGACAATTCTGGCCCAAACAGAGCGATTGTCTATCCCCTCTGGACGTGGTGGCCCTCGCTCCATACAACAACGTTCCTCAACCTTGGCTCGTCTCAAGAATTCCTACGGTGACATTCTGACAGCCATCACAAGGTGGCGCTGTGGTTCCTCCAATTCCAGATTCTGGCTGGTTGCGCCCAGCAGCGCATCCAGAAAAACCGAGGGCGCTTGCTTTCCAGATAGAAATGGAACAACTATGATAAAAGAGAGCAAAGGGAGTCCCCCAAATCCCAGGTGCCTTGGGAGCAAACCCCAAAAGAGCTTACTGGTAGGTGATGTTGAAGCCTGTCAAGTTGTACGCAGCGTCGCTGAAGAAGTGCAGAAGGGCGTAGCCAGAGCTGGCGGCCACTTCAGGGACCGTCTCATTGCTGTCCCGTTCGGGAATGATCAGGCCGCTGGGTAAAAAAAAACAAGCTGATGATTAATATAACTGGACACAGGGTTGGAAACACAGGTTAAGATGTCGTGGAATTTCCACACGTAGGCAGTCCTCAACCTACGACTGTTCCTTTAGTGACTGTTCAAAGCTACACTGGGAAAAAAAGCGACTTATCTCCTAGCTGGCTTTCATGCCTAAGACGGGACTAGAACTCACTGTCTCCTGGTGATGGGCACAAAATCTCCTAGCTGGCTTTCATGCCAAAGGTAGGACTAAAACTCACCATCTCCTGGTGATCAGCCCAAAATCTCCTAGCTGGCTTTCATGCCTAAGGCAGGACTAGAACTCACCGTCTCCTGGTGATCGGCCCAAAATCTCCTAGCTGGCTTTCATGCCTAAGGCAGGATTAGAACTCACCATCTCCTGGTGATTGGCCCAAAGTCTCCTAGCTGGCATTCATGCCTAAGGCAGGACTAGAACTCACCGTCTCCTGGTGATTGGCCCAAATCACCTAGCTGGCATTCATGCCTAAGGCGGGACTAGAACTCACCGTCTCCTGGTGATGGGCACAAAATCTCCTAGCTGGCTTTCATGCCTAAGGCAGGACTAGAACTCACCATCTCCTGGTGATCGGCCCAAAGTCTCCTAGCTGGCTTTTATGCCTAAGGTAGGACTAGAACTCATGGCTTCCCGCTTTCTAGCCGGGTGCACCTCTGGGGATCCCAGCTGAAGGAAAGCTATTTAGACCAATACTTTCAAAAGGCTTTTAATTTCCTGCGCATCAGATACAGAACGCGCTTTACGTCCTTAAGGGCTGCTTACGTCTGGCCCTCGACTCTTTCAAGCTGAGCCCCCTGGAAGATGGGCAGCTCACGAATACATTCAGCAAGAGCCGGAGCTGAAAAACACCGCATGCTGCTACGGTGGCTCTGTTCAGCCCAAAATTAACTTTTATTTAGATTTCTTCGTTTTCAATTTGGAGGGAACATGGCTGTGAGCGAGTGCAGGCAGACTATCTCTCAAACAGCATGTAGGAAAACCAACAGGTGTTTATCCCGAGAAAGGTTACAACGCCGTCATCCTGTAGGTGCCGGAATTACTCAGGGGGCCAATTCAATTCCCATCAATCCGTGAGGTAAATAAAAACAGCCAAGCTTCGTCAGGTTCATTAGACCTGGCCTGACAAAATGGTCACTCGAAACCTCTGCGGGATTTTTTGGCTAGTGTCGAAAAAGAAATGTTGATTTTACTCTGTCAGGCAGGCTGCAGAAAGTCCTTGACTTATAAGCGTTTATTTAGTGACCGTTCGAGATTACAACAGCACTGGGGAAAAAAAGGGACTCATGGCTATTTTTCACACTTACGACCGTTGTAAGCGTCCCCGTGGTCACGTGATAAAGATTAAACCGTTTGGCAACTGGCTCCTACTTATAGGTTTTGCAGTGTCCTGAAATCATGTAATAATAATAATAATAATAATAATAATAATAATAATAATAATAATAATCCCAAAACAACTGGAGCACCACTTCAACACTATTGGCCTTGACAAATTTGCTATTAGTCAATTGCAAAAGGCGGCCTTATTAGGAACTGCTTCCATCCTGCGACGATATCTGTAATACCATCAAACATCCACATCTGCCTATCCCAGGTCCTGGGTAAGGACTCGATAGGTAGACAAAATGCCAAATCCAGTCTGAACATCTGGCTGACTGTGCGATGATCCATAATAATAATAATAATAATAATAATAATAATAATAATAATAATAATAATAATAATAATAGCTGTTGCAAGAAGATTGCACAAACTGATTACAAGCAGCAGCATGACAAAGTAGCAACAATGGTGCATTGGAAGATCTGCAAAAAATATCATTTGCCTGTAAGCAAAAACTGGTGGGATCATAAAATAGAGAAAGTCATAGAAAATGATAAAATTAAACTGCTCTGGGACTTCAGAATTCAAACAGACAAGCACCTGCAACATAACACCCCAGACTTAACAATTGTCGATAAGAAAGACAAAAAAGTGTGGATAGTGGACGTGGCAGTGCCTGGAGATAGCAGAATAGAAGAGAAAGAACTGGAGAAGATAACAAAATACAAAAACCTACAAATAGAAATAGAAAGACTGTGGCAAAAGCAAGCAAGGGTAGTACCAATAGTAATAGGCTCCTTGGGTGCAATCCCAAAACAACTGGAGCACCACTTGAACACCATTGGCATTGACAAATTCGCTATTAGTCAATTGCAAAAGGCGGCCTTATAGGAACTGCTTCCATCCTGCGACGATATCTGTAATACCATCAAACATCCACATCTGCCTATCCCAGGTCCTGGGTAAGGACTCGATAGGTAGACAAAATGCCAAATCCAGTCTGAACATCTGGCTGACTGTGTGATGATCCATAATAACAACAACAACAACAACAACAATAATAATAAAGTTGGAAGGGGTCTTGGAGATCATCTAGTCCAACCCCCTGCTCAGGCAGGAAACCCTCTACCAGGGGTTATTCCTTTCTTCTTTGCTTCCTTTCGTTCCTTTTTCCTTCATTCCTTCCTTCTTTCTTTCTTTTGTTCTCCTTCCTTCCCTACCTCCATCTCTCCCATCTACCCTTCCTTCTTTCTTTTCCTTCCTCCTTTCCCCCCTCCCTTTTTTTCCCTACCTTCTTCCCTCCTTCTCCTTTCTCTTTCTTTTATTTTTTTCTTTCCATTTATTTCGGTTGACCTTTCTTTGTGCCAAATTAGGTTGACCTTTCTTTGTGCCGAACCTATCTAATGAACCTACTTGCGGTTTATCAGATCTATTCTAACTCAGAGCAGATTTGGTTTACCTGGGTAGGATCACAAAAATTGCAGAATCCAATTCTGGTTTGTTTGTTGTTGTTTTTTACGCCGCCCTTTGCATCTCTGTTTCTTTTTTATTTTGTTTTGTTTTGTTCTGTTTTTAGGCATGTTATTGTGAGGTTTTAATTTTAAGGCTGTTTTCCCTCCGTGTTATGTTTTCTCCTAGATCACCTCAGAGAGGATGAAAAGTACCAAAATGCAAATCCAATCGAACACAGGTAACCGTAAAATAATGCTCTCCCAATTCTTTCTCGGCCTCCCTCGCCCCATATTGTGCGAAATGTCCCCGTTCCCATGGCAATGCTTGGTCCCCAACTAGGATAAACCCTCAAGAGCATCCAGAGATGAAAAGGCGCCTCCAACAGTTCATTCCGGGCGACACCAAACGGGCAGCTGCTGAAAAATTAATCCGCTTCCTTAAATCCCAAAAAAGGCCACGGTGACCTTCGCGTTGCGCGACAGGAATTCTGGTTTCCCACCTTTTCTTACCTAAAAGCAGCCAGCAAAGGAGCGTAGATGGAGTCCCCATCGTAGACGTAGAGGTGGTCCCAGCTGCACTCTGTTGCAAAATGATTAAAACGGAGCCTCAAGACCGTGTTGGGCCTGGAAAGAAAGAAAAATCAGGTGATAACTGTCCCCAAAGCAATAAATAAATAAATACATAAAAAATGCATCAGCATAACTTTTCCAATTTGCACAGCACCTTGCATGCAGGACTGGTAACGAAATCCAGTGTTTGCATTTTATTTAAGTCCGATCGGTAAGGTGCGTGATTTGGGAACATGTGTCGTGGTTCCGACAGATGAAACTCTTTAAAAAAACCTCGAGGCATTGTTTACCTTAAAGGATCTTTTATTCGAGTAGCGTAATATCGGCACTAGCATAATCGAAGCCAAAAACTGGATTCCCCTCCCCTGAGCACATAGTATCAAAGCACAATTCCCTCCTCCAATTAATAGTCATAAATCACATTCCCCAATTAGCTTGAAATGCAGGCTTTCCCTCCAGCTCCCCAGCCCGCAAATTCTTTATCATCTCTGATTTCAACAACCTTGATTCTCATGCTAGGTTTAGTGTTATTATGTCTAGCTCAGTGGTTCTCAACCTGTGGGTCGGGACCCCAGCCTAGGCCTAGCCCAGAGGTAGGCAACCTTGGCTCTTTTATGACTTGTGGACTTCAACTCCCAGAATTCCTGAGCCAGTATGGCTCAGCTTGGAAACCTCTCCCTTTCCCCTCAGCGTGGCTGGCTCAGGAATTCTGGGAGTTGAAGCCACGAGTCATAAAAGAGCCAAGGTTACCTACCTCTGGCCTTGGCCTAGGCCACTTTATGACTCGTGGACTTCAACTCCCAGAATTCCTCAGCCAGGCACGCTGACTGAGGAATTCTGGGAGTTGAAGCCCACTCCTCTTAAAATCTATATCAGGGGTCTTCAAACTTGGCCCTTTGATGACTTGTGGACTTCAACTCCCAGAATTCCTGAGCCAGCAAGGGGGAAACTTTGGCCCCTTCATGACTTATGGACTTCAACTCCCAGAATTCCTCAGCCAGCATGGGGAAAACTATGTCCCCTTCATGACTTGTGGACTGCAACTCCCAGAATTCCTGAGCCAGCATGGCTCAGCTTGGAAACCTCTCTCTTTCCCCTCAGCGTGGCTGGCTCAGGAATTCTGGGAGTTGAAGTCCACGAGTCATAAAAGAGCCAAGGTTGCCTACCCCTCTTCTAGACCATCATCAACTATCTCCTGTCTACAACACAGTTCTTTCAGCAGTTCCAAGATGGCTCCACACCCATTTGCACTACTCAAGTGACCCTGAGGACACAGATAAACCTCCAAGTGGTCTCAACGACTCTCTAAAAGGAGGCAATTGACCGGCTGTCTGCAAGGAGTATAAATCCTTCCATTCCCCACCATCCAGTCAGAGTGGAAGAAGCTTCTTGGATGAGATGCAAAACATCTTCAAAAAAAAACAAAACAAGAAAGTCCGGTTGCCTTGTAAAAAAGTATTTTTGGTAAACAAGTAGTCAAGGACTACTTGTGTAGTCTTTCAGGTTCTTTCACCCTCAAAAGGTTAATTTTGGACTTGTCCAGATCTTCCTTCTCCAAGATCTTTCCTCCTTAAGATTCTTTGGGTGCTCAATTTCACATTTCTTTGCATCAGAAGACAACTCCAGATTCTTCAGTCCACCTCTGTGTGCACATACAAAATGGAGTATCTCAAACGGGGCAAATTTAAGACGTGTGGACTTCAACTCCCAGAATTCCCCAGCCAGCATGGCTGGCTGGGGAATTCTGGGAGTTGAAGTCCGCTCGTCTTAAAGTGACCCAAGCTTGAGAAACCACTGCAACCAAGGGGGGGGGGGGAGTAAACAAACTGAACAGCAATCTCATTATATAAAAGAATGATGAAATCCTGGACAACTCAGTTCCATAAAAACAACCAAGCTGTGTTACTCACTTTCCTTCTATCAGCCACGTGCATTTTGTTTTGTATTTGTAATTTCCCGGCCCGTCCGTTACGTATCCTGAAGATCCGGTAAGCCTGTGGGGGGGGGGGAAACAAAACTAAAGATGTAACACTCCGTTATGACTTACAAATGTAGGCCAGCCAAAATGCCCTAAAAATAAAGGGTCAGGATGATTAACCCCCTTCTTACGAACGAAATGGCGCAGTTATGCTTGGAACTATACAGGCCTGCGCACCACCGCAATTCAGAAAGAAGAACGACAGGAGGACAGCAGAAGGACGGCAAAAAGGCTGAAAGAAAGAAAGAAAGGAGGGAGGAGGCGGTGTGTGTGTGGGTCTGTTGTTGCAAACCTTGAATTAAGCCTAATGATTTTGTGCGTTATCGCAATTGTAGGATTTGCCACTATCAGAAAATGCAGGGATGGCTTTAAAAGCAGAACGAGGGTTAAGAACAGACCTGGGTACAAGCAGTCCTCAGCTTATGACCCCAGTCGAGTCCAGAATGTAGGTTGATGAGTGAGACATTTGTTAAGTGAGTTTTGTCCCCTTTTACGACATTTTCTTTGCCTCGTTTCTGAAGTGAATCACTGGGCTTGTTAAATTAAGAAACGCAATTCAGTGAATTTGACTTTTCCATGGACTTTCCGCTTGATCAGGTCGCAAAAGAGGGATCTTGTGATCCCCCCCCCCCGGGATGCTGCAAACCGTCATAAATATGAACCAGGTTGTCAACCATCCCCACAGGGGATGCTGCAGCGGTCGTAAGTTCTGAAAAACGGTCGTAGGTCACTTTTTTCAAGATCGTCACAATATTAAACGGTCACTAAATGAACTGCTGTAAGTTGAGGAGGGTCTGTATTATGTGGCACATCCGGCTGCTCCTGTCCAGCCTGCAAGGATTGCCTTTATTTTGAAGGTGAATTCTACTTTTTTTTTGCAATTTATCGATTTTTCAAAGCTCTATCGGCTTGGCCTGCCACAACAGACCCAATTTTTTTTTCCCCTTGGGAAAATTAACTGCCCACCTGCAGGTAGATCATACTGCGATGCACTGCATTGCATACAGTAGCAATTAGCAATTATTACAGCAATTATTATAAGAGCAATATTGCTGGAAATCCCTGGATGTGTCACTAGCAAAAAAGGGGGGATGGGGCCTTCACACATCTAGGAGGGGAAGTCCAGACACCTTAAATTTGCCAAGGGTGAAAAACATTGCGGACCACCTATAACACTCTGCTTCTCACGGTGGGAAAGCTTGCGAGGTCTTGATATGGGCCTTTACTATCCCCAAATTGGAAAAAGAAAGACAAAGAAAGTCAACGGTTGAACGGTGGGCTTAATAAACAGCATTTCAATGTCATTAAGTGTCATTAAGCACTTAACGCCACTGAAAACATCTGAAGAGTAAAAAAAAATAGCTGAAGACAAGAAGAAAGAGCCCAGTGTTGGAGCACTCACAACGTCAGGAGGCACCTTTCGTTCCAGTGTTCTATGTCGGAGCGTGCACCCAGGAGTAAACACAGTAAACAGTGGTTTGTATTAAATGGTGGTTTATCTTACACTATCTACACTATCTACAGCAGCGGTTCTCAACCTATGGGTCGTGACCCCATTTGGGGTCGATTGACCATTTCACGGGGGTCGCCAAGCAAGGCTGTCCGCCATTTTTTCCCCCCTTTTCTGGCGGGTGCCTTCCCTCCCTTGGGCTGGGCCAGCTGGTGGCCCAGCCGGTGGTCGGCCTGCGCCGTCTCTGTCGCTTGCCAGCTACGCCTCGGCCGGCGCAGGGGGCGGCACCATGCATGCACAGTGCTCCCAGGCAAGAAAAGTCCTCAACTTACGACCGGTTGGGTAGTCCTCGACTTACGACTGGTTTAGTCCTCAACTTACGACCGGTTGGGGGGGTCGCGGCATTAAAAAGGTTGAGAACCACTGATCTACAGTATCTATCTATCTATCTATCTATCTATCTATCTATCTACCTACCTACCTACCTACCTACCTACCTACCTACCTACCTACCTACCTATCATAATAGTAGTAGCAGCAGCAGCAGCAGCAGCAGTAAAGTTGGAAGGGACCTTGGAGGTCATCTAGTCCAACTCCCTGCTCAGGCAAGAAATCCTATGGTACCATTTCGGACCAATGGCTGTCCAATCTCTTCTTAAAAACTTCCAGTGTTGGAGCATTCACTGCTTCTGGAGACAGGTGGTTCCACTGGTTAATTGTTCTAACTGTCAGGAAGTTTCTTCTTAGTTCCAGGTTGCTTCTCTCCTGGATCAGTTTCCACCCGTTGCTTCTTGTCCTGCCTTCCGGTGCTTTGGAGAATAGCTTGACTCCCTCTTCTTTAGGGCAACCCCTGAGATATTGGAATACTGCTATCCCGTCCCCCCTCGTCCTTCTCTTCGTTAAACTAGACATACCCAATTCCAGCAACCGTTCCTTATATGTTTTAGCCTCCAGTCCCCTAATCATCTTTGTTGCTCTTCTCTGCACTCTTTCCAGAATCTCAACATCTTTTTTACATCGTGATGCAACTGTTTTAAAGTACATGCCAGTTGCCAAGCCCACACATTTTAATCACACGTCCCACGGGGAGCTAGGATAGTTGTTAAGTCATAAGTCCCTTTTTTCAGTGCTGTCGTTAAACCAGTGGTTCTCAACCTGGGGGTCGGGACCCCATTTGGGGTCGAACGACCATTTCACGGGGGTCGCCAAACAACACAGTCCGCCATTTTTCCCCCCCTTTTCCTTAGCTGTGCTACTGCCTTTTATTCTATTGGCTTTTGAAAGCCAATAGAATAGACTCTCTTGAATAGAGTCTAATTCTATTGGCTTTCAAAAGCCAATAGGAATTGTCCAGGCTGTCTCTGCCCTGCTGAGCCCGCCAAAAGTCCCATTCTGCAAAGTCCTCGACTTACGACCAGTTGGGGGTCGCGGCATTAAAAAGGTTGAGAACCACTGCGTTAAACGGAGACACCTTGTTAAGTTGAAGAGCAGTTATGCAAAATAAATAAAATAAAATAAAGCGCACAGGAGGAAATACAGATCCAGAGGCTTCGCTTCGTCTCGCTTCGTCTTGACGCCCGGCTTTTTGGAAAACAGCCCACGTCTTCGAATTAAAATGCGCTAAGAGCCCTCGAGGATCAATTCAGCCGGTGCCCTGCTGGTAATTGATAGCAAACAAACAGACTTTGAAAGCGCAAACAATCCTTGTCTGTACAAGAAAAAGATGCTGGGCGACGTGCCTTCCTCTCCAGCGATGTTACACGGAAATCGTTAGACCCCCCGTTTTACATCCCAGAGCAATGACGGTTACTTACACAGAGGAGAAATTTACTACAGCGGGGAAGAGCTTCAGCCCTGAAGGAGTGAAGCTGGCGTTCCAGTACCTAAGCAATATTTCACACCTGTCCTATTTCACAAAAGGACGAGCAGGCCCTTGTAAGCTAATTCAGACTGAGTAAATGTCATCGGACGCCACAAAAGGTTTTCGCAGTGGCTACCTGCAGCCGGATTCTTCCTCCCAGCTAGGGTGGGTCAATGTCTTCCCATCGGCGGTCCGATGCCTCTCAAGGGCGTTGAGATTGGTGGAGGTAGGCGGAGGCGAGCTGAGAATTGTATTTTATTTTATTTAACAAATGGGTGATGGGAATCGATCCTTCAACGGAGCGAACATCCCGAGCTGCTGGTGCTCGGCCAGGAGGAAGAGTCCAGCGGTCTTTCCTTGGAGAAATTATCTCATCGGGGGTCCTTGGGGGCTGACCTTGGGGGTTTTCTGGTAGACGTTTCATGACCCAACTGAGTAACATCATCAGTGCGAGAAGGGAGTGGGGTTTGAGGAGGAGGAGGAGGAATGTGGGGTCCTTGATGCTCTCTGAGCTTGGGGGTTTTCTGGTAGACGTTTCATGACCCAGTTGGGTAACATCATCAGTGCTAGAAGGGAGAAAGATTTGTGGACAGGAGGAGGAAGAAGGAGAAGGAGGAGGAGGAGGGGGAGGGGGAGGATGACAACGACGACGACTGTGGGGTCTTTGGTGCTCTCTAAGATTGGCTGCCTTTTAGTACTGTCCATGGGGTTTTCATGGCAAAGATACTGGAGTGGTTTGCCATTTCCTTCTCCAGTGGATCACATTTAACAATCATCAAATCCAGTTGAAACTCAAGTACTTTGGCCACCTAATGAGAAGGAAGGACTCACTGGAGAAGGGCCTAATGCTGGGAAAGATGGAGGGCAATAGAAGAAGGAGACGACAGAGAATGAGATGGCTGGATGGAGTCCCTGAAGCAGGAGGCGTGAACTTAAATGGACTCCAGAAGATGGCAGAGGACAGGAAGACGTGGAGGAACGTGGTCCATGGGGTCGCGATGGGTCGGACACGACTTCGCCATTAACAACAACAAGATTGGCTGTTTTCTTGCAGATGTTTCATGACCCAACTAGGTAACATCATCAGTGCTAGATGGGAGTAGGGATTGTGGCGAAGAGGAGGAGGAGGGGGGGATGTGGCATCCTCCCTGCTCTTTGAGCTTGGTGTTGTAGATATTTCATCACCCAACTAGGTAACATCATCAGTGCTAGTAAACACTTACTAGCACTGATGATGTCTAATATCCAAAGGCCATTGATGATAATAATAATAATAATAATAATAACAACAACAACAACAATAGTAAAGTTGGAAGGGACCTTGGAGGTCATCTAGTCCAACCTCCTGCTTAGGCCGGAAACCCTACACCATTTCGGACAAATGGCTGTCCAGTCTCTTCTTAAAAACTTCCAGTGTTGGCGCATTCACCACTTCTGGAGGCAGGCTGTTCCACTGGTTAATTGTTCTCACTGCCAGGAAGTTTCTCCTTAGTTCTAGGTTGCTTCTCTCCTTGGTTAGTTTCCATCCGTTGCTTCGTGTCCTGCCTTCAGGCACTTTGGAGAATAGCTTGACTCCCTCTTCTTTGGGGCAGCCCCTGAGAGACTGGAACATACTCCTCCTTCTCTTCATTAAACTAGACATACCCAATTCCATCAACCTTTCCTTATATGTTTTAGCCTTGCTTACCCCTTGCTTCTTGTCCTG